ATTACCGGAATTTCAAACGAAAAAATATTGTGTTGTAATTAGAAGGATATTTTGATCCTTTTAAATTTATTTCATTTTCCTCTTTTATTTTTTTGTGCCATGGAAATAATGCCACAGTGATTTTACCAGATTTTGTAGTTGTGTAATTGAATTCCTTTTCTTCTAGAGGTATTTGACAAGTTTTAATTATAATTTTAACCAGAATTTTCAAACCATAAGTGGGTTAACATGTTTTAGTAACTCTTTTACATTTAGATTAGATAGCTTGGAAGAAATTGCTTACTTTGCTGACAAAGTTGCTTAGAGCATTCACATTTGTTGGGGAGAATAGGGGATAATGTAAGAGTGATTAGGAAAGAGAAGATGGGAGGGGAGAGAGAAAAAAAAAGAAAAAAAAAAGGAAAATTAAATTAAAAAAAAAAAAAATCAGACTGACGGGCGCGTGCGCACTGGTGACAGCCACGCGTGGCTGTCACCAGTGGTGACTTTTGTGGTGGGTCCCATCATTTCTGCATTATCTCTTCATTTGCAGACCAATTATTTCTCACATTATCTCTTCCCCACATTAGTTATTATCTTGGGTGGGGAGAATTCATTCTGAAATATCTCCCTATTATCCACAAATGTGGATGCTCTTAGGTGTGCTGACAGAGTTGAGGAAGAAGAAAAAAATAAAAGAGAAAAATGAGATAAATTTGAAAGGAGTAACATACTATTCTAATTATAACACAATATTTTTTTGGTTGAAATTCTGATAATATGTGGCCGAAAAATTGAATTGAATGATCAAAAGTGATAATAGTTAGAAAGTCATGCACCTAAATTGAAAAAAGTAATAATCAAGAACCAACAATGCTTCAATTATGATAGTCAATAGACCAAAAGTGATATTTACTCTAATTTATAATAAAATCAAGTTCGTAAAACATTATTCTCGTATCTAAAAGTTACGAGTTTAATTTTTTACTACACTAAATATGACAATTTCTCACTGACCTCATAGGGATACCATATCCCTGCTCTAGGGACGGAAAGTTGTATCCATTTCTTATCAGGGATGAGTATATCCCTCCCTACCATGCCCCCATAAATAATGTATTATTAAACATAACAATTATTGAAAGTTGAAGTATATTTGGTAGTAAGGTTTTATTACGAAGAACAAGTCTTGGAGATTAAATCTTACTAATTACGTTTTGAAGTTTTTTTTTTTTTTTTTTTTACAAGGTTAATTTGGGATGGAGATTTTTATCATCAAAAATTTTTCACAAGGACAGGAATGGGCGGGGTCGCAAGATTGTATAGAGATTGTGGAGTATACTCTCTCCCTTATTCCGCCACATTGTCATTTTTGGTCAATATTTTCTTAATCGAGCTAATGGTCTTCTTATAATATTTTATGTTGTTTGTGTGGTTTATAAAATTTATTACTTGCACACTTTTATAAGTTATGACTGTGGATTTTCCTTATCACTTAAAGGCCCTATTTGGTAAATGGGTGTTAGCTGACAGCGAATTGAGTTAATTAGATGGTATAATTAGTTGATAACATTAGATGATTGTAGAAATGTGTTTGGTAATTTAGCTGTTAGCTGATAACTGTTTGATATAATTTCTTTTATAAAAAAAAGTTAATTAAAAAGTTGTTTTGATTAGCTTTTTGAATTTTAGCATTTTGGAGTTACAAAAAGCTAATTAATTAAACATTTATATTATTTTTTTTAATCAAATCAAACAAATAATAGTGGTCAAATAAATTAAAATTAATTGATAAGCTAACTATTTAATCAAAAGGTGTCAAAATTAAATGCTAAAAAACCAAAACTTTCACCTTACTGTTGCGTGTTTTACGGTGTTACAATTTCCGTTTAGGTGGTAGGTGCGACCGGCAAAACAATTAGCCGGTCCCACAAGAATCTGTGAATAGATTCCTACATTTCCACCTACCCTGCAATTTGCTGAATTTGTTTCTTTGGTATCAATTATCTAATTTTATGTTTTTTTCTAAGGAAATAATCTAATTTTATGTTATATACTGCTTTTTGACATACCAAACAACTATTATTAACAATGTGTATAATTATTGTATAAAGTTATTTGATAAATTGATTTATATATATTTTGAAATTTAATATTATATGATTTTTATTTCTACCGCAATACATGTCATTTTCAAACTATTTTATTTTTAAAATTAATTTAAAATAAAATTTTATAATAATACACTTATAAGTTATACTTTATAATGTTAGGGGTGGGAATGGCAAATTATGCCCTGGACCCGTGTCCACATTGAATTGTGGACACGGGCCCAAAACGACGTCGTTTTTTTAAAAAAAACGCGTCATTTAGTTAAAAAAAAAAATCACGTGCGTTTTGCCGTTAACGGCGTTATTTTTTTTTTGGATTATGAATGTACAGTTATGCCGTTATGAATATACAGTTATGCAATTATGAAATTATGAACACAGAGCTCTAACATTATGAACTTACAATTATGAACATATATAGTGATAAAATTATGACCATGGAGCTTTAAAATTGTGAATATAGAGCTTCGAAGATTATGAATGTACAGTTATGGAGTTATGAATGTACAGTTATAGAGTTATGAATCTACAGTTATGGAGTTATGAATCTACAGTTATGAGATTATGAATCTACAGTATGGAATTATGAATGTACAGTTATTGATCGAATTATGAACAAAGAGCTCTAACATTATGAACTTACAATTATGAACATATAGTGATAAAATTATGAACATAGAGCTCTAAAATTGTGAACATAGAGCTTCGAAAATTATGAATGTACAATTATGGAGTTATGAATGTACAGTTATGGAGTTATGAATGTACAATTATAGAGTTATGAATGTACAGTTATAGAGTTATGAACGTACAGTTATGGAGTTATGAATGTATAGTTATTAACATATAGTAATAAAATTATGAACATATACTCTTACAATGAAGCGGTCTGAATTTTTTTTTAAAAAAAAAAAAAGAAAAAAAAAGGAGATAACAGTGCCTGACGGCACTGTTACCCGTGTCCAGCAAGCATGCTGGACACGGGTCCAACGCATAACGATTGGGTGGGAATAGACCAGGCCTCTTCGTAGGGGCCTAAGGCCCGACCTATTTAAGGCCTACATAGGCCAGACTTGTTTAGTAAAAAGGCCAGACTTAAGTCTATTTTGAAGCCTATTAAATTAAACATGTCAGACCTATTTATATCAAGCTCGGCCTTCAGGTCTACAGGCCTAGCCTATTCACACACACATATATAATTTATTTGTAATATTAAGTTAGTATATATTCTATTTTATACTTAATATATTTTTATATTTGCAATATAATTCTAAGTATATATAATTATCAAACCCTAACTCTCCACCTCCAAAATCGCATTTTAAATTCTGATTCAACTATAAACATTGTTGTTAATCCTATTATAAGTGTTCTTATTATTTAATTGTTCTTACCGTTAAATATTTAATGAAGTGTCACGACTTAATTATGTGAGTTGATTGTTAACTATTTATAATATTATATAGGATGACAATCAATAGTACAATTGAATTCATTCCTAAACAAGTTAACAAGCATGTTATAGTTGTAACTTGTTTTATTTTATTTTATATATGGTTTAATACTATTATGTTTGCATTGTGACGATATACTTATGTAGTTATATATTAATTTTGTATTAGCTAGGTATATTTCTTAAATTATTTAGAAATACTTATTAAAGTTTTTAAAAAGACTTAATATATAGGTTTTAAATAGGCTTAGAGCAGAACTTACTTTGAAGTTTTTTTTTTTTTTTTTTTGGGAGATAGGGGGAGGGGATGACCCTAGTGATCAGTTGCTACTTTTTTTTGCAAAAGATCTAGCATAATCTTCTCGCAAAATGGCTCTCATCTCTATCGGAGGTGTGTGGAACTCTATCCAATCGCAACGTTTACTCGGGACAATTTTAGCTAGTCAATCCGCCACTTAGTTGAACTTGCATGGGATATAATCAAGCCTCAGCTCCCAGTCTTTCGACAGCCAGCTTTTGCAAAGTTTGGTAATTTCGCCACATGGACCTAGAGGTTCAGGAGCATCTTTAATCCATTAAATTTCATTTAGAGAATCACTAAAAAGATGAATTTTCCTTAAATCAGTTGCCCAGGCCCATCGCATGGCTTTGAGGATGACCTACATATTAAACATGCTTTTAAAAATATTTTAAGCCAGGCCAGGCGAATTGTCGGCTCAGGCTTAAGCCTAACAAAAAGTCTACATACAAGCTTAGGTCCAGGTCCAGGTCCAGATCTAATTTTTTAAAACTCGGCTCAACTCGGCCTATTTTCACCCCTAATAATATTTATGTGAAAGGACAACAACAATATTATTTTCCTTTCAAAAAAAAAAAACAATATTCGTTTGTATTTTTTTTCATTATATTTTTTAACCAACAAAATATTGAAATCAATTCATGAAGTACATTCTTTTTGGTTCATTATATTCCAAATGTTTTTTTTTTTTAATTTTTATTAATTCAAAATTCATTTGATGAACTAAACATGATATTAAAATTAACATATCTTTTAACTTTTTTTTGAATGCTACTAACTCTATTACATTGTAGTATGTGCTCAAACATATATTTTAACTTTATTTTCATTATAACTCCCGTTCAATCAATAGAATTAAGTATGTGATAAAAATTTATACTTTATAGAAAAATATTTAATATTTTCAAAATAATATAAACGACGATACTACATTATAACAGAGTCGGTAATACTAAAAAAAAAAAATTAAATTTTCTCTTTATAAACCAAGAGTACCAAATAAGGAGCGATAATTAGAGAGTAGTGAAGCCAGTGAAGCACTTCCGAGATTCTTTTATTTTCATAGGAGTCCGTACAGTATATTTTTTCCGTGGGACCCAGAAATTACGGAAATCTTTTATTTTTTGAAAGCAATTTTTTTTTTCTTTTTTCTACACAGCTATTCTGAATTGTTTTATGAAAACAATACGCTCACAGCTTTATAAAATCTCTTCTTCTTCTCCTCTTCTTTCTCCATCTTCCCCTGCATTCTCGCAAAGACTCTGTTCATACTAGAAGTCTCCCAAAATGTCTCTGCTCTCAGATCTCATCAACCTCAACCTCTCCGATCACACCAACAAGATCATTGCTGAATACATATGGTGAGTCAGTCTCCCTCGCTGCATTATTGCCCCCCACCCCCTCTGTTTAAGTTCTGTTTGACCATTTCTGGGGTTGTTTTTAGCTCTGTTGGATCTAGTTTTGTCTCTGTTTTACGTTGGATCTGTGTACTTGCTTGGGTTGCCGCTCGTTTCATCCTCTGTTCTTTAGTCTGCTTTACTATGCTTTTCATTTTTGGGTTTGTTGTTCCCCTGTTTTCTTTAACATGCTCTGATCCGTTCTGGGAAGTTTATATACGTAACGTTTTGAGTTTTTTTGTCATTATTTTCCCATGTTTTAATGATATGTCTGATTTGGTTCTGCTGTTTTACTAGTAACTTCACTTTCTGTGTGTGTGTGTGTGTGTGTGTGTGTGTGTTATTTTTTGATTTTGTTCTTTTGGATTTTGAGTATGTAAAGGAGTTGGTGGGTAGCTGTTTTGCTATGCCATGATGGGTTGTGTAAAAATTGAATCTTTGGTTATGTTAGATCACTTTGATTAAAGATCATAGTCTAAGTCAAAAGGCTGATCTTTAGTAAGAACCATGGCTGTTTTGATGTCCATTCATATCTCAATATTTCTCAACTTTTTTTGAATAGGATTGGTGGATCTGGTATGGACCTCAGGAGCAAAGCCAGGGTATTCTTCTTCTTCATATTCTTCCAATCTTCCAAGAATCTTTTTTGGGTCAAACTAACATATTTGTAGCTAGTAGGGCTTTCTTTGATTCTTTTTGTCTTGGTTTCTTGCAGACCCTTCCTGGACCTGTATCAGACCCCTCAAAGCTTCCAAAGTGGAACTATGATGGCTCCAGCACAGGCCAAGCTCCTGGGGAAGACAGTGAAGTGATCTTATAGTAAGTTGCTTTGGATCATTCATTTGACTGTGTTTTATGCTTGAGGTTCATTGATTTGACTGTATATGTTCCTTTGAAATAGCCCTCAAGCAATTTTCAGAGATCCATTTAGGAGGGGCAACAACATCTTGGTGAGTCAATTTATTGCTTTGCTGGATAGATCAGTGGATTGTGATTGCATTAAATTCTGCAGTTGAGGCTTTAAGTATTAGTGTTGACCTTTTCTAGCTGTGTTTGGTAATGGCGTGTCTCTCTTCTTTTTAGGTAATGTGTGATGCGTACACTCCAGCTGGAGAGCCTATCCCAACCAACAAGAGACATAATGCTGCCAAGGTTTTTAGCAACCCTGAGGTTGCCAAGGAGGAGCCATGGTACCATGATTTCTGTTGTGCCATTTCACTTTTAAGGTTGTGTTATGTTTTTTGTTTGGAATTAGGAGTAATAGAAAATTTTGATGTAAACTAGGTATGGAATTGAGCAAGAATACACTCTCCTGCAAAAAGATGTTAAGTGGCCTCTTGGATGGCCTGCTGGAGGTTATCCTGGACCACAGGTATATGAATTTAAGCTTTTATCCTGCAAAAATCTATCGTTTTGGTTATTTGGTTTGTGTTTTCTACGCATTTTAGTTGCTTAAATTGGTGTTCTGATGATGAATGGATTCTGCATAGGGACCATACTATTGTGGCATTGGAGCTGACAAAGCTTTCGGGCGTGACATTGTGGACTCACACTACAAAGCCTGCCTTTACGCGGGGATTAACATCAGTGGCATTAATGGAGAAGTGATGCCCGGACAGGTTAAAAATCTCTTCGTCTCTTTCAGCCTCGGGTTTTTCTTCTTTCTGTAAGTACTGATTTGTGTTCTGATTGCTCGGTGTTGTGCAGTGGGAGTTCCAAGTTGGACCCGCTGTTGGCATCTCGGCTGGAGATGAGTTGTGGGTTGCTCGCTATATTCTCGAGGTGTGATACGCCTTTCTTTCTTGAATGTGCCCTTTACCATCTTCCCAGGAATCCCAGCACCTTGCTTACTGCTAAATATAATTCTGCTGTTTTTTGCAGAGGATAGCTGAGATTGCAGGAGTTGTGGTCTCATTTGACCCCAAACCTATCCAGGTGAAGTTTAATGTTTGCTGCATTTAAGGTTGTTTTGGATTTTGGATGCCATTTTTGCTGTTTTTATTGATTATGTTTGGTTTCTTGTCCCCCCATGACATCTAGGGTGATTGGAATGGTGCTGGTGCCCACACAAACTACAGGTAATGTTCATAAGTTTATAGTCTGATGTTTCATAAGTTTATGGTCTGGTCTTCACAAAATAACATGGAGATGATGCTTTTTTTTTGCAGCACAAAGTCAATGAGGAATGATGGAGGATATGAGATCATTAAGAAGGCCATTGCAAAGCTTCAGTTGAGGCACAAGGAGCACATTGCTGCATATGGTGAGGGCAACGAGCGCCGCCTCACCGGGAGACACGAGACAGCCGACATCAACACTTTCAAATGGGTACGTTTCCCTTTCGGGGTTTCCACGTTAAAAGTTAAAAGACTGGTCTCGTGTGCTTGAATCGACTAACTGAACGACCTGGTTATGTATTTTTACAGGGAGTGGCGGACCGAGGGGCGTCGGTTCGTGTGGGCCGGGACACGGAGAAAGACGGCAAGGGCTACTTCGAGGACCGAAGGCCTGCTTCAAACATGGATCCTTACACTGTCACCTCCATGATTGCAGAGACCACCATCCTGCACAAAGATTGAGCCATTGCATGATGTTTGTTGGTGGGATATATTGTGTTTGGAACAGAAACAAAAGCATTGTTGTGTTTTACAAAAGCCCCTTTTCTTAATTGCTTGTTTTCATTGGGGTTGTCGAATGATGTGTTTTTGTTTATGGATTGTGCTTGTGTTTTCTTCTGCTAGCAAGGCTGATTTAATGTGGCAATGGTGTTATTGGTGTCACACAATCACAATATAGATTCGTCTTTTACTAATAAGGGTTATTTTAGTCTTCATCGGTCTATATTATTAATTTTAAATGTGGTAAATGATCACAATTTCATATTAACACTTGACAATTTCAACGGTCTATACTTGGACACATAAAAAAAATTAGAAAAATAAGTAAAGGGTCATGGTTGGATTTTAGGACTAAATTGGATCTTATAAAAAGAATGACTAAAGATGGATTACCACTTATAAATCTAGGACAAAAAATAGAATTAACTTTATAATTAACAAGTAGCGGTGAGTTATGCACTGGTGATCTTATGTTCAGTCCTAGTCTAGGTTGTTGGACTCGACCTAAGTGGTCGGTCCATATTCAGTCCTAGTCTAGGTTGTTGGACTCGACCTAAGTGGTCGAGTCCAAACCTATTTTAGTCAGAGACATTAGGAATGCGTCATTTTACTTATAGAAAGTACAACTTGGAGGATCTTGATCTAAATAGGAGATTACTTTCCTTATGTTTGAAGATGATTAATTTGAAATTAACATTCGAGAACAACATATCTTAACAAGACCAGTTTTATTATAGTGTACATGTAAACAAAATAGAAGTATTCCACCCTAATAACATCATGATCCAATATTGTTAGTGTATCCAAATATATATACAATACTACAAGCTAAATACTTTAAACTATATATACCTATTCTCACAACGTCCCCAACGACTCTATAAGAGATCACATTTTTAATTCACACACGTCAATATTTTTATCATCGCTTTTTACTTATAACGTACTTTCTGATAATGACGGTAAGCTTTTCTGTAACGAAGTTTAGTATACTATTGCTAGTGACTAAGCTTTGCTACAGTCTGCTTTTCCGAACCCCACACGTTGACTAACCAAGTCAAATTCCACCCAAAGATTTTGTTGATGGAAGTTTCCAATGATGTTACTTGCCACCCCAAGTGATTCTGACCGTCCGATGCCAAGACAGTGGATCCCACGGCCCACGCCGTCTAGAATCCTGTCCTTCCCGATCAGAATCTCCGCCCCGTTGTCGAATTCGAAGGCCATGTCGCCGATTAGGTTTCCGATTTCCGCCGGGTTGTTGCCGTCGAAGCACATGTCCAGGCTTCCGCCGTAGACGTACCCCTTTTTCAGCTTTGCGCCGGCGAGGCGCACCACTTCTTCTCTGATCGTGTTGTAGGCTGCTTCCACTAGAAACGTGTACTCTGTGCCGGAATCTATCATGGTCTGGCCGGAGCCGCCGGCGTCGGGGCGGAAGACGCTGGGCGGGATGTTGAGCTTTTTGCCGCCGATTTTAATCCCCAACAACGCGACGGTGTACGCCAGTGGATCAAGGTTGGGCATGCGTTGGCTCTGGGAGAATGTCAGCAGGTTTATGTACTGAAATGTGCCGGAGTTTGGGTTCCGGCCGAGGTAGAATGTTCCGGTGGGCTTTATTGCATGGTCGCCTTGTCGGACCGGCACGCAGTAAGAGAATCTCTGTACCTATTGAAATTAACAGAGAAAATGAATCAATAACAATGACAAAAAATAGGTTTCCAATAAAGAAGATGCTCTTCTTCTGTTTCATTTTATCTATCTTATTTACTATTTATTGGCCAAATTAATTTTTTTTCTTTACTTAATTTTTAGTATTTTTTATTTTTAAATTTAATTTTTTATATTTAATAATATTTTAATTATATAAATTTTATATATTGATATTAAATTCAAGTACTCAACATGAAAAAATTAAATTAAAATAACTCCAATCAAGTTTGATTAATAAAAATAACCGACATCATATTTATTTGTAACATTAAACATTTACAAAATTACCCATAGACATACCTTAGCTTGGGAGGCGAACGATAACCGCCCACGGTTCATTCCCAAAATACCCTCAGCCTGGCCGGACTCCGTCGTGCATCCGAGGACCATAGGAGGGGTAGTCTGGGACTCGGAAAACGAAACTTTTTCCCTGACGAGATTGCCCTCCGCGTAGGTTCCATCGGCGTAGAAGTAGGAATAGTGGCAGAGCTGCTTCTGGTCGCACGAAGTCGGGAGGGTAAAATCGGGAATTCTCGGTTTACACACGGGGTGGTTGCAGGGGAGAACCGAGAACGAAGACGACAACGACGGGTCAAACGACGTCGTCGGAGGCGGCGCCTTCGCCGGCGGAGCTTTCTTGTGGCACTGAATCCAAGAAAGCTGGCTCCCGGTGTCCAAAACCATCTGTTGATCCTGCGCCGGCGTCCCTATCGGCAGCGTCACCACCAGCGCCATCGAATACTTGAAACTCGACTTGTAGTTCAACGCCGGCGCGTCACCGAGCCGCCGAGAAGAAAGGTAAATATTCCTAGCGGAACCGCCACGAGACAACGAGGTTGAGGTAAGAGGAAAGGAACCAGACAACAAGGCAAAGGTTCCGAGAAAGTTGCAGGAAACAATAAGACAGAAAAGGAAGAAGAAAGAGGTTGCAGAAGCCATGAGGAAGTGAAAAACTGAAAATGGTGGTTTTAGTTTAACAGAGGGTTTAATCTTTATTGTTTCCCCAGAAGCTAAGGAGACGATATTTAGAGAGTACGTGTTAGTTGTGGGGAAGGAGAGTGATGAGAAGAGAGGTATTTATATGGTTCCAAGTGGGGATGAAAACGACAACATATGTGTAGCAGTGGAACGCCAAAGAAGAAAAACACAAACAGACAAACCAATTCAAAACGCGGTTTCTTATACTACAAAGAAGAGGATGTCTGTTCCAAATTCTTCTGCCCAGAATCTGCTTCTTACGTTGTACCGATCATCCCTGTGCTTTTGATATTGTTCGATTAGTTCTTAGGTGATAGATTGTGTGAAAGTTTTATTTAATGTGTAGGGTTACGTTTCTGGTGGGTATCCGACATTGATCTTCCTATCTAATGAGCTGATGTGTTACTGCGATTTATCTCTCAACTATCTTGTTGAGGCAGGATGAAAGATTACTTTCTTTTCGGCCAGAATTAGAATATTTAGATGATGGTTCAACAATTAAATTAAAGGGAATTAATTCCTATGGAACCATACCCTTTTAGCTGGCTCTTACTTTTTCTTTCAAATTAAGGGAGTTAAGATCCAACAATGACTAGAAATTGCTGTAAAGCATAAAGGTGATGAAGGTTGAAGGGTACTTAATCTTGGTAAACGTACTTATGTATGTAAGTATGTACATAGGATCTCAAACATTAGTGCCATGGATGGGATACATATTACACATTTACACGAGAATGAGATTTATGGGTTGCGAATTTTTTTTAGTAGTAAACTGTTAGAATTAAAGTAAAAAAATATTGGTAAGAATAATATGGACTATTCGTTTTGGGGTAATATATAATTGTATTCTTTGGACCATAGATGATGGGATGGATTCCTAGCTTGGTCTTGAGTCATACAATACTGTTACTTCTTGAATTGTCTTTGTGCCTATATATAGTGTGACACTAGCTAAATTCCATGTCTTTCGTGACCAATGTCTCTTATGTTTTTTCCACATCTAACCACAAAAGTAATGTATCATCCAATAACTTGTTTGAAGGGAAGATAGAATAATTGAGGATGGATGCATGGAATAATTCAAAATTCATGAACAAAAATTACTGAAAATATTAGTTATATTGTTTGGTTGGTGAGAATGAAATTATTTAGAATATTTATTTCATGGTTTGGTTTGATTATATACACAAAAATTATAATAAAGAGAACGAGAATAATTATATTTTGTCTTACTAGGTTGAATATATATATATATATATATATATATATATATATATATATATATATATATATATATATATATAATTTATTTATTTATTTAAATTATTGACGCGAGCCTTCTTTTTGCTACCACTAGACCTAAGGTATGACTCCATTTTTTTTTTGTACCCAGGATTTTTATTGACGGACGTAGTATTAATCCCCTCACTGAATTTTAGGTACCTGGATCTTTTGAATATGACAATTAGCTTGAAAATTTAAGGCTACTCCATACCCAATATCAAAAATGAACCTTTACCTTTAATTTGGTTAATGATGAATGAATTCCTCCCAGTCAACCACACCCCAAATTTAGGGCATGACTCCATGGCAGAGCTTAATCTATATATGTCGTAGGGTTTGCTAGCCAACCAAACTATTGTCTTCCATAAACACTATCAAAACTCAAACAAAAAAGTTGCAATCAAACCCACACGAAATAGGCTAAAAGTTTTAACACCAGCAGGGCTGGCTGGCTGCTAGCTATGAGCCAGCCAGATGGCAGCACGTACGAATTGAAGCAACAATCTTCATCACCATGAACAAGTGAGAACGCAATCTGTCACCAATTAATTGGGGTTTGTTATTGTAGGGTGATGGTGTGCTTGAGTCCCATTTGGCATGAAGATTCTCTCGTGCGTGCATATATGCATGTCACATTCGCCCACTAATTATAACCATTTATGGCCTCCTCGCTTTCCGTCACAGGTCGTCTCTGAGATGGCGACTGATTTTTGACGCTTCCCCATACACTTGCGTGCTTCGGGTAGGTTCATTATATGTGTGATTAATAGCCACTAACTTTATTTGATTGTGGTTAGCCGACGATTGCCTTTCATCCTCTCAATCATGCCTCAATTGCATGCACTAATAATACTTCCATAAGTATGGTTAAAACTCAATCTTCCTAGTGCAGTTTACCTCTAATATCTCTTTAGTAGGTGTAGTTTGTGGATTATTACATAAGAACGGGTTTATTTGTAATGCATATTTTTGAATAGCAGTTGCGAGTTTTTATCATGCACACCCACACTGTGCAATTTTAGTGCACATCTTTAAGAGCGGGTGCGAGTTTCCCTCATGCACACCCACCCAGTGCACATCTTCAGGTAATGGTTGTGCCAATGAATATTTTCGAGTAGTGATTATGAGTTTCTCTAATATACACTCTCGAGTATAGTGGATGCATGCACATCCTCTAGTTTGCGAGCTATACATGAGCGGGTTTAGCCCTTGCACATCTTCGAGAGTACTGGTGCGAGTTTCCCTCCTGTACACCCACCCAGTATATATCTTCGGATAGTGATTGTAAGTTTTTAGTTTCCATCTTGCACACCCTCTAAATTGTGTGCTCTTACACGAAAACAGGTTTATCAAGTGCACATTCCTTTCTACACACCACCCAATGCGCATCTTTGGATAGTGACTGTGAGGGATGCAAGAAGAAGTTTCTCTAAACACGAGCAAGTTTACCCAGTGCATACCTTGACCAAAAAAAAAAAAAGAGAGAGAAAGAAAGATGGAGAAATACACGTACTATACTAAGAAAACTCTATGCAATGGTATTATTAAAAATTAATTAAATTTATAACTTTCTGATAAGAAAATCATGCTCCATCTATTTGATTACCCTTTACATGCTTAAATTCATCATTTTTACATGTCGTATAGGGGGTGGCAAGATATTTTTAATGGGAGTGATAGCTAGCGAGAATTCACCTGAGGAAGTAAAGAAAAAAGCTAAGTCATGTAAAGTGAATTTGGGATAAACAAAAAGTTGATGGAATGGCGTGGCTTCATGTCGATCAAAGTTATCCATCACGAGTTTCATGATAGAAAATGATTTGATGGAGATAGGTAAGCCAAGAGAGAGAGAGCATGGGGAGTTCACACACCTCATATGATCCACACAAAATAAGTAAATAAATAAATAAATAATGGAGCGGATTTATTTTTATCAACACTCTTACCTTGGAACTTATCAGCCAGAATTTTATTAATGTAATTTACTTCTTTTGTGTTATTTGTATACTATTATACAAGAGTAAATTAGCCAATGACCTTATGATCTAGTGATATGATTATTCCAAATAGGAGGTCATAATTTGATCCCAGTGAATTCAAATAGTGATTACAATTTCTCCTTTACCTTTGTCACGCAAAAAAAAAAAAAAAAAGACTAGATATTAGACATTATAGTTGTGGTTGGTATATAAAGACATATTTATCTTCTATTTTTATAGTCATCATATATCTATGTATTTTGGACACATGTCAACTTATAGTATAACACGTTATGAATAGTGGCGAAAATTGAAAATAGGAAGATTAAACTTGAAATAATTTTACAACTACATAATTAAATTTTTATAAATTAAAAATCATGATTTATATTTGAAAATTTCATTATATTTAAGAGATGCTAAATGGAATTAACTATTGTTGATATATTGAAAAAGGAGCATAAATATTCTTTAATTAGCCCATTAAATTAATCTCATAGTTTGTCCTTTGAGTTCAAATGCATGAATGTTCCTTGATCACGAGAGCATAGCTTAATGTTTTTTTTTTTTTTTTAATTATGGGATATTAATTTCTTCTCTTTTGCATAATATATATCATAGTACATATATAATATCATAGAAATCTTAGCAATTTCATCATGAACAAGTTCAATGAAGAATTATTGATTGTACGTGGGAGTAGATTGTAGGGGCCAGGTGGCACTATATGTTTGAATTAACAAATGATAATAATCTAAGCAATAGAAAACCATGGGTAGTCCATTTTATCAACTCAAGTCTGCCTCATGAATAGGGGACATAATAATTTAATTATAGCACTATTCAATTACTAGGTTTTGGACTTTGCTTTCTAGCTATGTGAAAACATGACTACAATAGAGACTCATCAACAAAACATTTTACTAGATTATTAGTTAGTAATGTAATTTTCTAAACGATGGAAATCATCCTTCACTATTTCAAAGTATATGGGGGATAAATTCTGCTTCTATATAATAGTCGTCTGTAAATTATATAAAAGATTAAGGTAAACCGCACTAGAAAGATCTAAAAGTGTGTATCATGTAATCCCACTCCTAAATTTGTGATCTTTAGGTGATAGATCTCAGCCCAACCTTTGGACACCAAGCTCAACATGTCTGACTCGGTCTTGGCCTGACCTACGCCCACATCCTCGGACTCGACTTTCGCTTCGTCATCGATTCGAACTCGTGACCTCGGCCGGATTTCAGCGTTGCATTATGCTTACTTCCCAAAGGGTCACCCATCTTGGGACTATTGTAAGTCATCTGATTGACATATCCTACTTAAAACCAATTGGTGATAAGTAATTGAACATTAATCATTTAAGTACATACCTCCATAGTTCTCGAATCGAGCAGGGGCTAAACTTGACCAACTCGATCGACACTCAACATTAAGTACGAGAATTATACTCTATTTACTTCGTCATTTCTTTCAAGGCCAACGTACTTATTTTTATAACATAAAAGTGTGTGTTCCATTTATAGTATTTCTTAATTATGTGCAAAATTAATTGTTTTAATATGTAAATATATCTTAGCATCGCTCGTGAGATTACACTAGTTTATTATGTAAGTTTCTAACATAATAACATGATACTTTGCTTCTCGTTGGATTAATTGTAAACTCGGTTGATTATCTAAAGGTGGAATCATGGTATCCTTTGAAACGAGAATAAATAATGTAATGATTATTTCACGAAATTAGATTATACTCATAAGTAGGACCACGTTATCTTTGATTGTCCATAAAAAAAAAAAAAAAAAAAAAATTAGGTTGGTACAAAATTTAGATGTCTTTAGTGTGAAATTAAATCTTGTAGGATAAGGATGCATCAATTATTTTTGTTGTATTTGTTATTTTTTCAATTTATTTGATTTTTTATGTACCTAAAAATATATTAGTTTAATTAATGTTGACATAATTTGATTAATTAATTTCGTTTTAGATAATCAAGTACCAACAAACTAGAATCCATGAACATAAAGTCATATGTTGCCTAATACTACTGTTTATGATTTTGGAATTTAGTCGGCTGCTCAGAATGTTTGTTGCAATGTCTCTGTCTTGTAACATTGTATAACTTGAATGAAAAAAAGAAAAAAAGGGAAAGATATTATTTTAAGCAATACAATGATATTCATATTCAATTTTAAAATTTTATAACTACTTGGTGAAATACCGCGCGTCATGGTGCTTTTCCTAACCAGTGAGACCGGAAAGTCAACCCCACCTGGACAAAGTGCTGACATGTAAAACATCTCTTAAGTTATCCCATCAGCTTGATAAATTATTTCAGTAAAGACATATGGCGTAATCGACTTAATCTACTAGTAGATACTATATCGTCACTAGGTATCCCTTGTTGGCCGGATTTTGTCATGTATCCCATAATTCAATGTTATAAAAGTTGGCTCACTCCTCAGAGGAAGGGACTTTTGGACCTAAAGCACTGTAATCGCCACTGTTAGTATCTCTCAACATGTCTATAACTTCTCATTCCCGACCACAAACTCTAGAGACTTTTTTATGCACTAGAGTTATATATATATATATATATATATATATATATATATATATATACACACACACATGCACACATATATAATTAATTAAACACTATATTTATCCACATTAATACATAAATTCTCAACTAGCTTAGCATTTTTCTTTTAATTGCTTGATTGTAACTTAAAAATCTATTAAAACTCCTTAAATTGACAAAAAATGTGATTTATTCAGCAGTCTACTTCTAATTTGGTTGACAGGTAAAAAAAATTGCTCAACATAATTATACCAACATCTTTGATTGGGATGTGACTCAAATCTGTGACTTTCCATATGAAACGATAACACTGATGGCGCCATCAAATCACAAGTTACTTAACAAGTAAAAAAGAATTTAAATTATTTTTTAAACATAAGATCGAAAGTTTGAACTACACTTGTCATAAGCATAAGCTGACTGAAATAGTCAAACCTTTGAATGTTTTTGACAAGTAAGAGAATAATTAAGCAGGCATTATTACTGTAGTTGGAATGCTTATCTTGATAGTTCAATCATCAATGCATGCACTCAATAATTTATTTCCATTGACCAAGCAACCCTAGGGGCCACTACTAAATGCTACATACTCCATAGTAGATAATGAGATAATCAACCTACTACAATATTTATTTATTTATTAATAATGAGAGAAACCTATTGTCGTTTTCGAATGTGTTGATGATAAATTTCATTCTTGTATAATAGTTTGTAAATTATATAAGAAAAATAAAGCGCACTATGAAAACTCTGTGCGATGAACTCGACCAAGAGAGTCTTGGTAAAAATCGACTACCACTGCTATATTTATGAGCATTATAATTATTGGAAGAATGAGCATTATAATTATTAAATTAGTATTTATTATTAACAGAAGAGAAATTAAATATTTCCCCAAGGAAATCTCAATAAAATTTATGGATTTATTTTATTTTTATTTATCTAATTATATTCTTTCTACTAGAAAAAATTTTAAGATGTTGATATAACATTCTCAATTTCTCACACAGCTATCCAACCTTTATGCATAACAGCAAGATTATTGAATATATATTCCCCAGCATATTGTAAACTTTTCGTAAATATTCTAAAAGGGAATTAATCCTTTAGTAAGGTTATTAATAGAAACAAATTAAGAATGAGTGGTATAGACAATATGATGGTGTTACATAATTTCCTAAGTGAATAAAACTTCACTTCACTAAAGGTTGAAAACTCGAAAAACGAAATTCAAAAATCATTTTCCTGTTTAACTATCAATGAAAAATACTCATCGGGTTAAAGAAAAAATTACTCACTTTATCAAAAAATATATTTCTAAATTTTTTATCGAAAGGTATTTTTTTAATCTCACCATCAATTATCTCTCTCTTTATGAGTGATGTCAAATTGAGGGATTAGCCAGCCATTTGGCTAGTTATTATTGGAACTGGATTGGGCTAATCAAACGATAAAAATCTTGGTCCCACCAGGCCAATAACCTAGAAGATTAAAAATTATTTAAAATTTTTTCTTCCATTTCTTTAGTATATGCTTATCACATTTACTAACAACCAATTAAAATATGAATTAGGCTAAGTCGGACTAGACAATAAAAATTTTTGCCTAGCCCACAATCCTTTAAAAAAACAAATTAGTTTTGTTTTAAATAAATAAAAATTCTTTAGTTAATAATTATTACATTTATTAATGTCTAATTAAATTTGAGCCCCCCCACCCCCTATTTCCAATGTCTTTAGTTCATAATTATTATATTTATCATTTATATATTTATTTTTATTATAATAAGTTAAAACTTATTTATTTACATCTTTTTATTATAATTATTATTAATCTTTATAACTATTATAAATTTTAATTTATAATTTTATTTTAGTATAAATAATTATTATTTTCATCATTAAAATATTTGATATTTTATAGTAAAAAAAACTTTAGAATAGATGTATGTTCGTGTTTAAAAAAATAAAATAAACAAAAAATATTATTTTCTTACTTTTATTCAAATTCCACCAAAAAATAAAAAGAAAATATTTTTTAAAAAATAAATAATTTTTTAAAAATATTTTTTAATAAATATTTTCCTTATTTTTAAACAACCTTTAATTGGATGTGGAAAAATTCAATATCATCGCCTATATAGAGTTCAAACTTTAAACCAACGGTTGATGATGAATTGAATAAGTCAATTTTGGGTAGATGAAGATGATGATGATGAATTGAGTAGACCCCCACGTACGTCGTCATACTTTTGACTTTGGGTCAAAAAGGCCTCGCCCGCTAGGGTTTAAGCCATAGAATTATTATGCATGCCCATACCACTATACTTGTTTGGGTTATCCATGGACTATATTTTCAACCCTAGCTGGTCGGCTAGCTTCTATCTATATCTGATATCTCCATTAAGTTGTGTTATCAATACAATTTTTTTTGGATATCAGAGAAATCTTTTTGTCATTACTTGAGTGTATATATTGAATAAATTATATTTATGTGTAATAGTCTATAAATTACACGTGAAATGATCAATCGAGAGAATGTTGTTAATTATAATTGAATCTTGATTATTTAGTGCGAGAATCATATATATTTCATCTAATACAAAATTTTGACTTTAGTGAGTGTTTGGTAAATAGTTATTATCTGATTGAGTTTGACTAGTTGATAGCATTAGCCGATTGTAGAAAAATGTTTGGTATATTAGTTGTTAGCTAAAAGCGGATTATATGCAAAGTGACTTTCTCAACAAATTGATTGAAAAAGATGTTTTGCGCGGCATTTTGAATTTTAGCATTTTGGAGCAATAAGCTATTACAAAAAGTTAATTAATTAAATACTCATATTGATTGTTTAACCAAATCAAACAGTTAAAAATGATCAAATAAACTAAAATTAACTGATATAGGGTTGCATTAGTGTTTCATGTGAAGTCGAGAATCAATATGAGTATTTAATGTCAATTGGCTGGTCCAAAATTGCAATGATCAATTGGCACCTTGACAAGATGGTGGAAAGTGAAATTCGTACTTTTAATGTCCATATTTCAAGCATTCTGATGGGCCAGATAAGGCCCTAATGAACCCAACACCTAAAGCCCAGTTATTTCTACAGTTGTTTGTAACTTAGATATAGGCCTATCTTCAGCATGCAAGCCCGATTTCATTTCATTTTATTATTTGATAACTCATGTTTCCAGACTTATACCTTCTAAATGAAAGTCCAATCCGAGTACCATTAGACCACGTAGTCCTGGTATATCCTGGATCTTTATGAATCCATTCCAATTAACATATTTTGTACCTATAGTTAACCATTTTCGTATATATAAACAAATAACTTGATAATTGCTGACACATAATATGATAGCTAGAGATACAAAAATTGCAACTGCAGGTACAAAATATGTCAACTATAGATACAGAATCTGACTTGATAATTGTTGACACATAATATGATAGCTACATGTACAAAAACTATCAATTGCAGGTACATAATATATCAATTATAGATACAATGTAAGGTAGACCCTAGTCTATGGTATAATTTGCCAACAAAAGGTACTATGTAAGACGACAAATTATAATGCGAACCATCTATATTATAAAGTTGACTACTAGTAAACATTCAATTTTAGTATATTGAGTGTTTATTTTAAATGTATTATACATTTACTTTTAAGTAATGTATTAAAAATGAATATGTAATACATTCAAAATGAATATTCAAAAAATAACATGTAGTATGCTGAAATTAAATTTTTAATATATTTAAAGTGAACATATATAGCATTGTAAATCTATAAAGTCACTATTATAAGTTCATAAAATTACCATTATTGATTTATAAAGTCACTATTGTAAGTCTGTATTAAGCTCAAATCGAGAAGGTTAATAGGCAGCTCCCAAAAAAAGTTGAACTTGAAATATTGTAGTTACTACTTGACCAATTCAACTAAGATTGTCCTATGCACTGAATAAGCTCCTCCGTATTATAACCCTAGCCAATCGATAACTGATCCAGCTCAAACTAAAAAGAATTGATAAATCACTCGTACCGAGAATCCTTGTAATTATCAAGTTAGACTAACTTAATTAGAATTACCTCCAATTTTTTATCCAATACATGAATATTTGTATCTCGCAATGTTACTAGTCCAACATAACATAACATAGATTGGACACGGCCAAAATATCATAAAAGTAAACCGCTTTAATCCATTGACATGCAACGACCGGTTTCGGTTTCCAACTGTCTTCTAGGGTTTTCAGTGATTAAACGTCACCCACCGTCCCTTTCCCTCCATTCTCTCTTCCCTCTTTCTCATTCTCAGAATCTCAGGTATGCTTCTCTTTCCCATTTAATTTCACCTGTATACCTGCATATGATTTCGCTTCTATGCATATTACTGCATTTCTAGTTCAATACTATTTCTCCGTCAATGGCAAGACCCCTCCTCCATCTCTGTTCCTCTTCCAAGAGAAACTTCTTTAGGGCCACACTTTTTCCCTGCTCAAACCGTTTCCTCCATGCCCGCACTCCAGAATCCAGGAAATTTCAAGATTACCCCTTCCATGAGCCCAGATTACCACCCCAGCCTCAGTTCTTGCACACCCACTTCGCGCAATTCACAAAGTTTGGATTTTTAAGTTTCAGTGGACGCCATTTTTCTGCGCTGGGTGGAAATGATGGTTCTTGTTCGAGTCCAGTGGAAAACGTGGAGGGTGAAGCTGGTAATCTGGAGTTGGGGAAGGAGGAGAATGAAGATGGGAAGGTTGGGTGTGAGAAAAGATTGGATTTTGCTCATATAGCGGGCCGTGATCCAGTGGAAATTTATAGGGAGCTCAGAGATGCCAGCAAGGGGGAGAAGCAAACCCGGGGAGATTGGGATTCCTGTACTGAAATTTTTAGGGGTTTTGCAAAGTCTGGATGGGCATCAAATCAGGCATTAGCTGTTTATATTGGGGCTTCATTTTTCCCCACTGCAGTGCTCAAATTTCGTAAGTTTTTCTTCAAGAAATGTAAGACTGATATTGTTAAATATTTAGTCTCCCTTGGCCCTTCTCATGAAGCTGAGAAGTTCTTGTTTCCAATGTTTGTTGAATTTTGCTTTGAGGAGTTTCCTGATGAAATTAAGAGATTTAGGTCTATGGTTGAGTCAGCAGATTTGACAAAACCACATACATGGTTCCCATTTGCGAGGGCTATGAAACGCAAGATTATATATCACTGTGGTCCGACTAATAGTGGAAAGACGTATAATGCGCTTCAGAGATTCATGGAAGCGAAGAAGGGGATCTATTGTAGTCCACTAAGGTTGTTGGCCATGGAAGTTTTTGATAAGGTTAATGCTGTAGGGGTTTATTGTAGCCTCCTCACTGGGCAAGAGAAGAAGTCGGTTCCATTTTCGAGTCATGTTGCTTGTACGGTTGAGATGGTGTCTACAGATGAGTTGTATGATGTGGCTGTTATTGATGAAATACAAATGATGGCAGATTCGTGTAGAGGATATGCATGGACGAGGGCTTTGCTTGGGTTAAAGGCCGATGAGATACATTTATGTGGCGATCCGAGTGTTTTGAATATTGTTAGAAGGATTTGTTCTGATACGGGGGATGAGTTGGTAGAGCAACATTATGAGCGGTTTAAGCCATTGGTGGTCGAAGCAAAGACCCTTCTTGGGGATCTGAAAAACGTAAAATCTGGAGATTGTGTTGTTGCCTTCTCGAGGAGGGAAATATTTGAGGTTAAATTGACAATCGAGAAGTTAACGAATCATCGTTGTTGTGTTATATATGGAGCATTGCCACCGGAAACTCGTAGGCATCAGGCTTCGTTGTTTAACGATCCAGATAACGAGTACGATGTCCTGGTTGCTAGTGATGCGGTAGGAATGGGATTGAATCTAAATATTCGACGGGTTGTGTTCTATAATCTGTCGAAATATAATGGTGACAAGATTGTCCCCGTTCCAGCTTCCCAGGTGAAGCAAATTGCTGGAAGAGCTGGTAGGAGAGGAAGCAGATTTCCCGAAGGATTAACTACCACTTTGCATCTGGAGGATTTGGATTATTTGATCGAGTGCTTGAAGGAGCCTTTCGATGAAGTTAAGAAAGTCGGGCTCTTTCCGTTCTTCGAGCAGGTTGAGCTATTTGCCGGGCAACTCTCAAACGCCACCTTCTCGGAGTTACTCGAAAAGTTTGGAGCAAATTGCCGTTTAGATGGTTCTTACTTCCTATGTCAACACGGTCACATAAAGAAAATAGCTAATATGTTGGAGAAAGTTCAGGGGTTATCTCTCGAAGATCGTTTCAATTTTTGCTTTGCCCCGGTTAACATCCGAGACCCGAAAGCAATGTACCATCTACTAAGGTTTGCGTCATCGTATGCCCAGAATCTGCCCGTTAACATAGCCATGGGCATGCCAAAATGCTCTGCCCGTAATGATTCGGAGCTCTTGGATCTCGAGACTAGACACCAAGTATTGTCTACTTATATGTGGTTGTCTAATCACTTTGAATCGGAAAAGTTCCCGTACTTTAAGAAGGCCGAGGCAATGGCAGCGGGCGTTGCTGAATTACTGGGCGAGTCACTGACTAAAGCTTGCTGGAAACCGGAATCGAGATCAGGCGGAAAACCTAGGATGCAGGACAAGGATAATAGGTATGTTGAGCAAAGGCCACTCATTAGTTCATATGATAAGTAAGTTCTTATTAGTTCCGGTTTAAACATGGTTTTAGGGATACGCCTTTTCCCTTTAAAAATCTCTACAAGAATGTAAATGGAATTCGGGAAAATTTTCCCGTTTAAGTGTTTAACACTACCTTGACACCTTGTAGGGAAAAGCGCGAGAAATCATTACCAGGACAGCAAGAGGAGAAGAAGGTTGCTGCACAATGCTCCTAATGAGGTATATATTCTCGGGTTTTATATTCTCAGATTGTCATTGTTTCACGTTTTAACTGTGCTTTGCATTTCAGGTAGCGGGACAGAAGGAAATGGATCAAGATTGTGCATTTCTCGACAATAGGGTCTCATGTGTGTTTCTTGGCCAAAACATACGCTTTCTCGATGGAACGGGATACCATTATCGCCATACTTCATCGGTTTATTGAATGCCATACGCCCACCGGAATCCAGATGTTTACAGTAATAGTAAGTTCTTGGCATTGGATGAAGAGGGATGATTGAAAAGAAAACTTGTTGAGGGTATAAGTTAAGTTTTTATGTAGCTAATCCTATTTGTAGGTAGAGCTTCATACTCCTTTTCTTCTTATACAGAACAAATGGTGATAGAAAGTATTCTTGCTGTGTTAAAAGCCTCCCCCAGAGTACATTCTTTTTGACAGTATTCCATATGAAAAAAAAAAAAAAAAAAAAAAAAAGGGCAATTTTTGTCACTTAAGTATATAGCGACGATTCTTTGATCATACTCGGAATCCAGATGTTCTTTGAAAGGATAAGAATATCCTTTGTCAAAAGTTGATTTAACATAAACTAACCGAGGATTACTTTAGGTAACATTTTCATAGTTTTTTTGAAAGCAACCAAAGCGGCATATGGCATATATTAGAGATAAGCTGAAATAGAGTTCCGCGGGATAGTATTCCAATACATAGCAGTAGTCTGACCAAAGGCGGTAGAAGTTAAAGTATGAGCTAGTAAATTATTTGATTTAGGAATGAACTTGATTAAACAATAATCAAAATAAGAAATAAACGATTTGCAACTATCAATGACATAGCCGACGTATGAACGAACTGGTCCAGTGGTGGAAGACAAATAGTGCTGCAGAGTTGGGCAATCCGTGAAAAGCTGTATAGATCGCTCCTCGCGAAGCGATCTCTGAGCCATGACAAGGCTTCCTTGTACACAAATGCTTCGGCCATTAACGGAGAGAAACAATATGGGAGAATGGCGTTGAAAGCTGCAAAATACCCTCCATTCTCGTCGTGAAGTACCGCACCAACCGATGCTTTGTTTGTCGAGGGGTGAAAACCAGCATCGAAGTGGCACATCCGAAACAAAGGTGCCGCTGCATGACCCGTGCCGGTAGAACTGATTGCGATAGTCTCGGTAGAGCTGGGCGCTGCAGTGACCGGTTGATGACTGCTGCCCGGATGCACTTGTCGCCAAGCGTGCAATGCGGTAATGGCCATCACCACTAGCTTTCTCGGTGTCGGCAGGTAAGCATCCCAAACCGCACAATTTCTCGCCCTCCAAATATAATATAGAATAGCAGTTGTGAACATAATTTCATTAGTGTCTAGGATATTCATAACTTCACCAAACCAAGAATGAATAGTATTTGTCACAATATTGGAGATTGGAAGGTGGGATTCACGCCATATGGAGCTTGCAAAATCACACAATACCAAAGAATGCATAGTATCCTCATGAGTAATCCCACACATAGCACATGGGATCAATCTCCACCCTCTTTATAAGGAAGTTGTTGGTAGTGAAAAGAACATCACTTAAGGCTCTCCATAGAAAAGTTTTTCATTTTGGGGGAATTTTAAGTTTCCATAAAGCAAGTCATTTATTAAAAGTGCCCTCATTATCAACATAATTTCCAACAATGAGTCTATAGCCACCTTTAACAGAATAGCAACTTTTAGGATCCCCATGTCAAAACCAAGTGTTTTTATAGTCCGGGAAAATAGGTATCTTCGAAATACGAGCCGTGTCCGTAGGATGAAAAATATCAGTCAAAATCGAATGATCCTATAAATCGGTATTTGGTCACTTAACTAAATCGAGCAAAAAATAGAGACTTCATTTTATAGTTAAGTGATTAAATCAAGCAAAAAATGGAGACTTTTACAAAAAAATCACACCTTCTACTATTATGTATGGTAGCAACGCCAGTCAATTGGGGCATCTCAGTCTGTACCATAAGTAAACATCTTCAAAGTTAATGACTAAATCGAGCAAAAACAATAGAGACTTTTACAAAGAAATCACAATAGTCAAAAGATCCGAACTTGTATAATCTATATTATGTATAGTAAAAAGTGACAATTCTTTGATCATACCTGATAGTACTAATCCCCGGTTGTCGGTTCAATGTACTGTATGTAATATGTATATGTATGTAAGCAATATATGAACAAGGAGAAATAGCTCAAATCCTTCTCTTATTAAATGTGTTCTTTTATGTAGATGTATGAAGAGAGAAGGGAGAGCATAGAGAGAGAGTCCAAAGAGGGATCCCCCAACTAGGAGGGCTATGGGCCCTTTTATAGGTTCAGGAGGTGGCCGGTTTGAGCCATTCCGGGTTTGACCCGTCACCTTTGACCCCGACCCCATACCATAACCTGTCACCTTTGACCCCGACCCCATACCGAGACCCGAATTGTTTGACCCCGACCCGACTACAGACGGGAACATGAACCCGGGGTATATAACCTATCATCAACCTGCACATGTCGCGGATCGTGTAACCTGTTTTTCCAGTCCGAACCCTTCCTCGCTAACTTGTTGTCAGGACAACCAGGGATTAGTACTATCAATATAGGCTTCTACTATTATGTATGGTAGCAGAAAGTGATGATTCTTTACGATTCTTTGATCATACATTCATACCCACTATTGTTATGTATGATAATAAAAAGTGTCCATTGACATCACCTCATTAATTGCAAGAAATTTGAATAATTAACTTTTCTTCAAAATACAACTCAACATAAACATTTAAAACATGTAAAAATGATCATGCAGATAAAGCCTAAAAGCATAAACATAGATAAGCATAGACTCAGATGTGGTGTGGTGTAGAGAGCACAACATTTATATCAAATGTGGGAACAACCACATTGGTAGGCAGCCTGTTAAGGAAAATTACAGGAAAAAAAGGTACAAACAGCAAACCAAAATTACATTGCCATTTATGAGAATTTTATGTATGGCACTAAGGTTTTCAGGTTTGCTGTTTTTCCTATCCTTTGTCCTCAGTAAAGAATCCATCACAATTCAATTGAAAAAAAAAAAAAAAAAAAAAAAAAGACAAAAGTGCATGGAGACTCTTATTACAGGGTCTAAAATCACCACTCACTTCTTCAGCAATGTCGCGCTGCATTGTGCCATGATCTTTGATGCTCTGGTTATCGAGTCTGTCATGTAGAAGTTGTCTATGGCAGGTTTAAATGGGGCGGGACTTATGGCTTGCTTGCATTCTGGCTTCAAAAGGGTCGAGAATGTTGCTGGTTGTCTCTCGTCTATCTCCAACAGGTTTGGTGCAACAGTCCTCATCCGAGAGCGGATTGCCCCAAGGGAATCATAAGGCAGCGGGACACCTGCAACCTCAGATAATGCTCTAACTATCTTCCAATCATCCCTAGCATCACCGACTGTGGGTACTGCTGGTACTGAGGTTTGAGCACATCCTTCTGTATTTACAAAGGTTCCTTCTTTCTCGCTAAAAGCTGACGCTGGGAGGATCACGTTGGCACGGTACACACTGCGGTCACCATGGTGACCTTGGTAAACCACAAAGGCATCACTCGGGAGTTTATCGAGGTTGACATCATCAGCACCCATCAAATACAGAAACTTTGCAGAGTCTATGCATTTATCAGATTCTGGCACGAGCCCAAGGTCAAGAGCTGCAGCCTGGGCAGCGTTCAGCAGCAATACATTGAATCCATTCCAATCAGGTCTAACAACGTTTGCTTTTTTTGCAATATTCTGAACAGCAGCAAAAACTGCATCCCGATCTTCCCTCTCGAATATACCAGCACCGACAATGATGACCGGGTTCTTGGCATTTGAGAGGGCTGAGAAAAATTGATGGCGACCTTCGGCAATTTCAGTTAGGGTTTGAGGTCCTGTGCCAAGATGTTCATGATCATAGTTGAAGTCAGAAGCTGGGCCAATATAACCAACCTTAGCTTGCGTTGCACGAACTGTTTTACGGATTCTTGCATTCACCATTGCAGCTTCGACTCTTGGCTGGCAATCCAAGATGAAAAATGCATTACATACAGAAAAAGGCCCGAGGAGAAAAGTATTGTCATCTCATATATGCCATAAAATTATTTCTTCCATTTGTTTAATAGCAACCTAAATGCTAAAACTCAGACTTGTAACAGGAGGCTATTGAGAAATCCAAATTATATTTATAAAAAATAATAAAAATAAATAAAAAGGTCAATTGACATTTACCTGGGTACCAACCAAGAGGAAAACATCTGCTTTCTCCAAGCCACTTATGCCAGTATTCATAATATATTCAGACCGCAAATCAGCATTTGGAGAAAAGCCATTTCCCTCGCACAGGACGTTGTTTGACCCCAATCTATTCAAGATATCCTTCAGTGCGATCATGGATTCTGCATCAGACAGCTTACCAGCAACTCCAACAATTTCCTCGGGCTTAACTTTATGTATAACGTCAGCAACCACAGCTAGGGCATCACGCCAGCTCACAGTCTTAAATCGTCCATCTGCCCCCCGAATCATGGGGTCATTTAACCTTTGCCTCTTCAAACCGTCATAAAAGAAACGTGTTTTATCTGATATCCATTCCTCATTGATGTCCTACACAAGAAAATTTAGAAATTCACTACACCAGCTTATACTGTAAAAACCAATAATAGAATCTTGCACAATTGATATGGTCATAATTTGACCTTTGAAGAGTTGACAAGTTGAGAGCAACATCAAGACTCAGCTTAGGCATGCCTAGGAAAAACATACACAGAAAACCAAGAAACTACAGAATCCTGATAGAAACATCATGAAAGCACTTGAATCTATAAAGCAAGAATTTCCAGAACATAAAGAGTGGACTCATAGATTCACACAACAATTCAATTTGATAAAAGTACCTCATTCAAACGTGGCACAATGCGCATAACCTCGGGACCCCTACTGTCAATTCGAATATTTGAACCAACAGCATCTGTAACATCAATGCTCTCTGTACCCTTTAACTCCCAATTTCTAGCTTTGAAGGCAAAAGGCTTTGAAGTAAGGGCTCCAACAGGACAAATATCAATAACATTCCCCGAAAGCTCACTTGTCATCAAATTCTCAACATATGTTCCAATTTCTTCTCCACTACCACGACCCAAAACACCAAGATCCTGCACACCAGCTATTTCAGTTGCAAATCTAACACACCTGTTAGAATAACATGGCCATATCAGATCAAAGTTTAAAGCCATATCATCAAGTCAAAATCATGTCCACATTTTGACAAACTGAAACATGTGTCATATAACCATTATTATACACAAAAAAATCACCCAAAAAAAAAACAAAAAAAAAAACAAAAAAACAAAAGGAGGCAGCATAAAGTAAAGTATTTTGAGAACTCAGATAAATTTAAGCACAATAAAGAAACAGGTTGAGAACTGTGCATTACATGCTGGAAATTAATTACAAACATACCTTGTACACTGAATGCACCTGGTCATCACGGTCTTGACCAATGGACCAAGATTCTTGTCAACCACAGATCTCTTCATTTCAGTAAAACGGCTCCGATCAGATCCAAAAGCCATAGACTGATCCTGGAGATCACATTCACCACCTTGATCACAAATTGGGCAATCTAATGGATGATTGATCAGCAAAAACTCCATTACTCCTTCACGGGCCTTCTTGGCAACAGGTGTATTTGTTTTGATTTTCATTCCTGAGAAATAGTTTCCAAATAATTAGTAACGTCAACCAAAAGAGAATTAATCAAAACATTCAATTATTAAACCTACTTTGATACTCATATTAAAAAGAAACAGAATGCTCGGATTACACAAGAAGTCAAAACCAAAGCGCTTTTTAACGGGTTGGATTTGTATCCATGGCTATTTGTCCACCCCTCTTCTCTCTCTCTCTGTAATCTGTTTACTCTTCTGTGTAATGCAATGGAGTAATTTTATTTTTATTTTTAAATTAAAGCTCTTTATATTTCTTCGATTATGATCCAGTACACCAGAAACATGGAATATAATAAGCATAATATAGGCTAAAGACTAAAACCCATAATGTGCAAATGCTAAATAATTAGAAGTATATTGCATTTCATACTTCATACAGTCATAAACACATGAGACCAAAATAATAAATAGATAAATAAAATTCCAGTTGTTAATTCCATAACTATTACTCAGAAGAAGATTTCCTGAAAATTTCAACTTTCATTCTTATGAGACACAATCGGCAATAAATTTTTACACCAAAGATCCGTTATGGCAACAAATCACTAAACAGTTTCCGCTCTACAATTTTTCTATAAGTTGCAAATAACTGAAAAACCAAATATCATGACCTAAAAGCAAAAGGCAGGATCATAATTCACATGAAATTACAAAGTTCTAGTTTTTCTCCTAAAGATTGAATTTTAATTAAAAGGGAGTGGAAGCAAATCATAAACCGAAAACGAGCTGGAGAAAACGCATGAAAAAAAATCCACAAACCTGGGAGTGCGGGCATAGCGCAAGAGGCAACGGGTTTGGGGGACTTCTCGACCTCGACGAGGCACATACGGCAGTTTCCGGCGATGGAGAGGCGGCTGTGGTAGCAGAACCTGGGAATGTCAACGCCGGCGATCTCGCAGGCCTGGAGAACCGTCATCCCCTTGGGGATTTTGACCGGGTAATCATCAACGAACACCTCGATGGCGTCATCCGGGTTGGGGAAGTGGACGCGGGCGCCTCCGACGGGAGTCCGCTTGGGTAGATCCGGCGCCGCAGGCTCTTGAGCAGCTGCAGCCTCGGCGTTGCGGAGGTCCGGCGTGGAGCCGATTGACCGGAGGAAAACGTTGCGGCCCGCTGAGGAGAAAACCCTAGAAGATCTAAGGGTTCGAGAAGCGAGTAACCCCAATCCCATTCTTCTTTGTTGTGTTGTCTCTCTTCTCTCTTGGCTTCGTTACAGTGTCGAGAGAGATGGCTGTGAAATGAGGAGCGTGGCAACCAGATGATCCCTCTGCAAAATCGCTTTAACTGCGAATTTGGGCTTTCGGGCCATTAGGTCCGAATCTCAGCTTTAACCCATCGGCCCGATTTCAACCTTTTTCTGTTAGAAGACCATCCGAACTTTTAGTTTTGGTTTTTTTTTTTTTTTTTTTTTTTTTTTTTTAAATGTATAAACCTAATCATTGTCTATTTGTTACACCACACAAGACACAAAAATAACGAATCAATGTTTGATTCATTACCCTATTAATATGTTATGAATTGAATACACCTATTATTTTGTTGGATTTAATTGTATATTTTAAGAAATAAAAATATGATATTAATATGTCCAAATTGACTATCGTGTCAACCTGTTTAATTCATTTAAAAATTATAATTGTGTTTATGAGTCTAATAAATTAAAGTTGACAAGATATTTTTATGTTTAGTTTTATCGTATCAACCCATTAGTGAATCCTCGAGTACATCTACAAGTAATATTCATTGAAGATGGGAAATGATTAAATGGACCGTTTACCTAATACAGATTCAAAAATAAGATTACAATTTCATCACTTTCTTAAGGTTTCTATGTTTTCATGACCATTACAACATAAGCCAGATCGAACTGTAAGAGCTACCATAGCGTAAACTTGGATTATGATCGTGTCCCGGTTGCTCTCAGAACGAACATATAGCACGCAAGAACTCTCGAGAAGTTTATTAGTGTCTGGCATCAAGTACTGGACAACCCGAAGTCCTGTTCAGCTCGCTTTAGCACAGACGTCACCCTGTCGAAGAATTCCGGCTCGCTCTCCTTTATATCTTCCAGAGACTTGGACTCGTGTTCTTCAGCCTAAGCGAGAAAAGGTGGAAAAACGAGAGAATAAGAGAGGTTTTCTGAATGGTTTACATAAGAAACATGTTTGTTTATTACCTCTTTAAATCTTAGAAGGATCAAGTTGGACACGGTCGCTGGCTTTGTCCTGTCCCATCTGAAAAACGTATAATCGATGTACGAATTAGAGACGGGCAATAACCAAGAAACTAAAGAGTTGGATAATCGATTGGTCCCTACCTCACAAGCATCAATTCGTTTACCGAGCGCCACATTGCACGCCCAACCTCTTTGACAGATTCGTCCCTTGCGCTTCTCCCATGCCACAACTCTTTAGCAACATACATAACTTCTTCAGCATCTACCTTAAAAATAGAAGACATACAAACGATTATCATTATCAAATTACATATAGACAGCATTCTATGCGATAGAGCCAAGATTGTGTGACAGTGTGAGATTATCACGGTTTCATGTTCTTACACTACAAATAATGTGAGTTATGTTGAGCATATAACCATTAATGTGCAATCCAACTATCAGCTTAGGCTTTTAGTTGAGATGGAGCACATGCTTCAATTTGGTATCAGAGTCAGACCAAAGGTCATGGACTATCAGCTAAGGCTTTTAGTTGTTTCTATGGAAAGATAAATCAGAGACTATTTTTCATGATACAAATGAAATTTTGAGGTCCGGTACCTCCACTTGCATGGCTGTTCCGTAAACCAACTCTTCATGCTCTATGAGACGGTGGTGCAATATATGGTAATGATCCATGTCAAAATTGACCACGGGCTCCATCTGAACTTGCAGCCCGGCAAGTTGTGTCGCAACGTATGAAGCCATGACTTGCCCAAAAATCGCAGGTATTGTTCCTAGAACTGGAATGATCCGAACCCTAAAACCTGGCACTATCTGACATCCAAGTATCAAATTTAGAACGTGGGCCCTTCACAATAAGAGATGACTACCGAACAACATTGTAAAAAAAAACACCAATTTTGTCTCCAAAAGCATAAGCAATTGACGCATCAATCTCTAAAACAGTAGTAACATTCTTACCTGGTAATCCGAAGGATTTTCTTCTTCTCCACTCGGTCCTTTAAATGGAAGAAGCTTTGCTTTAGGCTTTTCTAAAGAAAAAACTACCGGAATGCCACCATCAATTCCATGGTCTTTCCTCAAGCGGTGTCTTACCTGTGCAATTGAATAGTTTAATCAGTAGCATGCATCAAGATTATATAGAACACAATATTATAGACCGTATAAAAAATTTAAAAAAAAAAATATTACAGCTCGAGATAGTGGATCATTAGTTGACTCTCTTAAGTCAGCCACACGTATTCTGGTGGGATCTGCCCGTGCCCCGGCTCCGGTTGCAGACAGCACTTTCAAACCCCTACGTACACATGCAGCAAGAAGTGACACCTGGCAAATATATGAATAAACACAGTTAGTGGACTAGAACAAATCATAATTTATAAAACTTGATTAAGGGGACTTTCGTAAGTGGATAAAAATGACAAATATTAGTAAATGAAACTAAAAGATAAACTAGATTAGGGAAGATGAGTGGAATAAAGCTACCTTTGTGTCAATGTTATCAATACAGTCCAAGACAAAATCAGGATTGCCAGAAAGAATCTCCTCTTCAGAGGATGAATCATATAACAGAACTTTTGCATCTACATGACACTCCGGAAATATTGATTGGAAATGCTTCTTAAGGCACAAGGCTTTTGGGGTACCAACATCCTCTCTTGTTGCGACAGCATGTCTATTCAGTGATGAAACTGTCACCTTAAGATACAATCACTAAATGAGGATCCCAAGCTAGCACTAAAATGAACATGATAATGCCAATTGTGAAAAATATACACATAACACATGATTAGCAAGTGACTAAGAACTAGTGTTCGATAACATGTTATATGGCATTCTTGTTGTAATATCTAACACTAGGAGGTTGAGGTTCAATAACATTACCTGGTCAAAATCTACAAGTAGTAACCTGCCAACCCCAGACCTCAAAAGCATATTAGCAGCATGACTCCCAACTCCTCCAAGACCAATTACCACAACATATGATGCAGTCACTTTTTGTTGGGCATCGAGGCCAAAGAATTGAATATTCCTAACGGAACCAGAAAAGGAAGAAAAAAAAAAAAGTGATTTGCTAAATAAAAGGTAAAAGATAAAAGTTCAGATGGAAAGAGAAACCACCCAGCTTAATGCCATCTTTGTGCATAAACCGAACCCATATTAGAACCTAGATGGCCTCAAATAGGAAACAAAGGAAGGGAACACAGAGATAATAGCAGGGATATGCATAGATTCCATAATTGTATATTTGTATATAAGTCTTTAGCAAGGCTATCCTATGCAATGGGTTATCATGAAATGCAGTTCTTCTACTCAAACTAAATTCCCATGATACCTGGTTAATTGCTCACAAACTACTTCATCGCTTAGCAGATCGGGATTGATCATTGTAGGATTATCTCCCCGGAAAAAAGTAGGACCTGAAGATATTATATAGATAGAAAGCTATTGTAATTATGGGATATGCATGCTTAAAATCCTGATTCTTTCTAACTAAAAGAAAAAAGCATTGGAAAAAAATTGTCAAATTCCCCTCTACTTGTAATTTAAAAGATAAAAAATAAAAAGGCAACCAACTGTATAACAAAAAATTCTATGCACCTAAAAAAAAACATTAGCAATAACATTATAGAAGATGACAAAACAAATATTCCACCATTTCAATCCTTACTCCTTAGGATAACCTTATAACTAGGATTGGTTTTCAGCAAAGAAGCACAAAAAGAAAAGCTGTAAAAAGTATGTTAAAAAACAAAAAATACCATTTGCTTTAACTGCCTCTTTGATAACCTCATGCTTAACCGCCCTGCAAAAATGCACGTAATAGAACTTCGAAGATAAATTAAGCAGTTTTAGTGATAAACAAATGAAACAAAATTAATTTTAAAAAATGGATGTTTGGGTGAAGGCGGATTTACCTGGGGAGGAGCTTGAAGAGAGAAATAGTAGCGGCAGAGCCGAGCAGAGCTCCAGCTCCGATCAAAGCTAGTAACTTCACTTTGTCTTCCATCTCACTTTCCGTTTAATCGGGTAATCGCCGTCCCGGAGGTTTTGGTTTAAACCCCTTGTATGAACATGGGCCTAAACCCGAATAGGAAGCAACTTTACAAATGGGCTTAATTGGGCTTCTCGCCCAAAATAAACAGCATTGATAATACCAAATAATGAAATCAATATTCTGAGTATTATATTTTCCATAAAGTTTTCACAATTCTTTTCCACGAATCAAATTTTGTTGAAAAATGGAGTAAATTCCTCAATTTCATTAATCTTTCATAAAAATGTATTTGACTTTGGCAAATTAACATCCTAAGGTGCAGTCAATATAGAATAACCAAAGGCCTGCAAAACCAGTGACAGTGTAGGAGCAATCTCTCAAAATGAGAGCAGCTCTTTGTTCGTAGTAAGCAAAAATCTAGCTTCTATATTCTCGTTCACGATTCTATTGCACTGAACAACCGCGCTGCTCGTAATAGATTAACTTTCATGCTAGTTCTTGCTCCCCCGCCTTTATCACGGAGCCGTACGTGGAAATAAGTGATCATCAAAGGGTTCTTACTAAGAAAATTCTTGATTACGTTTAGGTTTTTTTTTATTGAATCATCGTGGTTCTAGTATGAATCCGAGGGCTTAAGTCATTGTTTCAAATCTGATAAAGGGCAGGGAATAAGTGATCATCAAAGGGTTCTTAATCCTTAATTACGTTTAGGTTTTTTTTTTTATTGAATCATCGTGGTTCTAGTATGAACCTGAGGGCTTAAGTCATCACTTCAAATCTGATAAAGGGTTTTTTTATTTTCCACGAAACTCCTGCCACATTGGAATTTCCAACCAAATGTGTCTTTGTTCCAATCAGCGCAGATTGACTGAAAGCAGAAAACATTCCACTGACAATCGTATTTTTCACTATCTATGAGTCAAATCAATTCGTATTCAAGGTTATAAAATACTAGATGTTATTTATTTGGTAGTATGAGTATGAAATTTTGAAATTGAACTTGTCCAACTCTATTTGATTATTCAAAACTTAATTAGCTTGAACTTGGACCCATCACTTGCTCATTCAAGGTCGACACTACAGTAAGTATATCATAGTAAGACAAAAACAAACATTAGCAAAACTCAGTACAAATTAAAGCTAAGGTTCTCCAACACCTTAGTCCTTAGCTAGCCATGGAAGCTCCTTTGATATGCTGAGGTTGCCGGAAGTGCTTTTGCGCCGCCGCATTCTCGCCACCTTCACTGTGAGTTTGATCACACAGGACCCCTACAAGGGCGTTCAGAGCACATCCCAGAAGGGGCACACAAGAACACAAAGCGGCAATCTGTTGCAGATTCATGGCTGTTTAAAGCTCTGCAGAAATCCGATGATCAAAAGAAATGTTTTCTGAGTGTCCGATGAAAAGTCAGAAAAGCAGTACAGACTATTCTTTGGTTCTTTAGAGTAGTGGTGATTGGATGATGGAACTAGTGGACTACACCTGCTATATATATACCAATTTGGTGGGACCTAAAAACTTGGAAAATAAGCTCCCATGGTCGTCATTTGCTTGGTCCTCAAGCACAACATTTCTCTGTTCTTAATTTTCTTTATTATCTTTTGCATAATGTTCACAGCTCACATGTGAATTTAGCCTCCTAAATTGACTTGTTTGACAAGTCTCTTCAACTTAAATGGATGCACCAATGACCAATATTCTTAGGAGAGTTTTCCCCAAATGAAGACCGACCAAGTCTCATCACCGTCACAAAAATATCAGTAATTAATACTCTTAGGAGAGTTGTCCCAAACTGAAACAGGCTACAAAATGTAGCATTTCAGTTTTTAACGGTTTGGAGCAAATCACTGCTCTAAACCGCTAAGGAACCAAACGATTTGTTTTTTGTGTTTTGACTCTGGTCAAAACGTGAAAATAACGGATCCGTCAAATTTTTGACTGATTCGCCATTATTTACCAAACAAGTCCATAATTGAAGTAATACATCCTGATGATGATATGGTTTTCATGGATATATATACACCATGCATCTTTTGCATTGTGGAGATAGATATTTCTTCTGCTATCCACTCCTTTGATACGAATGAGACGGATCGGATTGAATATTTATATTTTTGGTGAAGAGAAGTGGAGAAAAGGATAAGAAATGAAGTTTATTCATGTCATATTAGCGTGACTTTAGTGCTTCTAGCTTTGATCTGTCGTTGATTGTTTGCACGAGGAAATCGTCCAACATTCATTGACAGATCAGTGATCACCTTATGGTGTTTAGTAATTATTATTATCACTTGAAGCAAAAGAAGAGATGAGAGGGTGGGTGACAAAGAAAGATCAACACTATGATGTGAATGAGAAGCAAATCACCCGTTAAAGAATTACATGTACGTCCCAATAATTGAGAATATAAAGAGAAATGTATTTGGTAAATGAGTGTTAGCTGATTGAGTTTGACTAGTTGACAGTATTGTAATTTTCTCTCACGATCGGAGCTAGTAATACCAATTAAGTTAATTACTTACTACAATCCATAGTACCTTCCTCCAATTTTTGTCACTTCTACTCAACTATTTCTAATCCCACTCTCGAAACTCTTAATCCCGTTATGACATCGGTCCAATCTGAGTTTAACTTATTTTTCTCATCAAGACAAACCTCCGCTAATCACTTTTAAACGTTTTAAATTGTAGTGTTTGAACATTGATCACCATATATATGACTTCTTCTTTTTTTTTTTAGTGTGAAATAAACTTACAGTTACTATTCGAAATATACACGAGATAAATCGTACTAGAAAATCATGTGTGACAAGTTCAACTGAATGTGTTTTGATAAGAATTAAACCTGTACCTTTCTGATACAAAAATAATGCTCCACCCACGCGATAAACCTTTTGAACTAACACTCTCTTATTAAATTATACAAAGACTATGAGCATGACTGACAACCAACTAAAATTTTCCGGAGTTTCTTAATTGATTGTTCCTACATTTGTGTATTCCTCTTTCCTTCAATAATATAGATATATTATATTTTAATATATTTTACAAAATATGATAACATTATTTGAAAGGTGACAATTATTCTGTGAACCAAGACTCAAAGATACACAGTACAATTTACCTTTTAAAAATGTGATGACCCTGTATTGAAGTCATAAATTTTCAAAATATAGAAACACAATTTATATTCAAGTTCACAATTTCAATACTAAAAATACACAATTTAAGAGCAGAGTCCACATTGCAAGGTGGACCCTGTTCCATGGTATAACAACTGGTGAAAGGCACAATGAACCTACTCTTTTGTAAGCATTAATGGAAATATAGCATATGGAAAGATTGCATTAATATTTCACTCTTGCAAGTTGCATACAGTAGTAGCTAGACTGATTAATTATTAAGAATTAAAAAAAAAAAAAAAAAACATGTGAAAATTCATTGCAGAACGGCGTCAACAGACGGCCAAATTATTGCTCCTCCGGCGGCAAGTAGAAAATAGACGGGCGTTTGGGCTCGATGATCTCCACCGTTCCTTCCAGCATCTTAGCCACCTTCCCCATCGACGGCCGTTGATCTGCCCGATCTTGAAGGCACCACATCGCCGTCTTGACCATCCGATTGACCATCTCAAAGTGGGCCCGCGTATCGTAGGAATGCTTGATCCGAGGGTCCAGAATGTCCTCCACATTCATCTCCTTGTACACCTTATCAAACGCCCAACTTGGCAAAAACCACAAATCACTATCCACCTTAGATGTGCACTGGTCAAAATTCCTGGCCCCACACACAATCTCCAATAAAACCAGCCCGAAACTGTACACGTCAGCTTTGGGCGTAATCGGGTCAGCCCGCATCCACTCCGGGGCTATGTACCCCGGAGTGCCACGGAATCTTGACATCGTCATAATCTCTTCCTTCTTCTTCAGCTTCGCCAGCCCGAAATCTGATACTTTCGGCCAGAAATCGTCGCCCAAAAGTATGTTTTCGGGCTTGATATCGCAGTGGAGAACCCACTCCAAGCATTCTTCGTGTAAATACGCAATGGCCCGGGCCACCCCCAACGCAATCCGGTACCTGATATTCCAATCAAGAACGGGCTCGGGCTCGGGCTCGGGCTGTGGGCTTATTGGAGATTCTGATTCTGCAGATTCCGTCTTGTCGGATGAGCCGCCGCCGACAAGAACCGGCCGGAATAAGAATTTGTCTAAGGAACCATTCGGCACGTATTCATAGACCAGAATCCTCTTCCCTTTCTCGGCGCAGAATCCCCATAGCCGGACTAGATTCAAGTGGTGCATACGAGCAATAATGGTCACCTCCGCCCAGAACTCGGAGTCGCCGCCGGCGACGTTTTTCAGGCACTTCACGGCGACGGAGCGGCCATCACTCAGCTTCCCTCTGTAAACATCGCCGTAGCCGCCTCTCCCGATTTTTTCGCTGAAATCCTTGGTGGCGTCCTTGAGCTCGGAAAAGCTAAACCGTTTGGGCCCCACCGCCGGCATAACTTCCAATCCAAACGTCCTCGCCATGTCCCTGTACTTTATGTACTTTTTCAGAAACGCCCAGAAGAAAAAGACGCCGCTGATGAGCTCCGCCGCGAAAATGGTGGTTATTATGGCGATATTCCTGGCGGTGGCCTTCGACTCCTTCGGCGGCGGCGGGAGGCTTATTCTCACCGGACATGAAGTTTTCATCAAACCAGTCATCCCGGTGAAATTCGACACATCGGTCTCCGAACTATCCACTCTCAGAAACATCACCGTCTCCGTCCCCGGCGACCAGAACCCATAATCAAGCGTTTCCAATTGCAGCACGCAGTAGCCAGTCCCGTCATATTTCATCATGAACCCGAGACAATTCTTCTCATCTAAACATTTTTTCCGGCAATCCGTGAAGTTACCCGCCTTAAGATCCGTCTGGTTAGCCCCGCCGGTGAAGTTCACGAAATCCAGAGACAAAAACTTGGTCTTGCCGGACATGGTGGTTTTTCTTTCGCAGGAATCATCCGAAGATGTCTTTTTCCGGAACCCGGGTGGGCATACACAGGAAGTTTTAGCAGTGACGACGTCGTACATGCAAATAGAGTTGTTCCCGCACGCGCCGTGCACGTGACAGAGCTGGTAAATCGCCTGCCAGACGGCGGTCCAGTTGCCGGAGTTCCGGTCAAAGGCGTAGACTCTAAGGTTGCCGTCATTATCGAGAACCAATCTTCTCAGATTCTTTTGGCCGTAATCTGAACAGTACATTACATTCGGGCCGATTTGATTAAGCGAACCCTGTTCATCTAGCATCAGAATCTCGCCATTATTGACGGTCCAATAAGAATCGTTCTTTTCAGCGAAAATAAGATTGGACTTTAGGAATTTGAATTTCCCGTTCTTGGAAGTAATAATGGTGCCGTTGATCGGCTGCAGGGGGAGAATAGTGTCCGTCGGATTAGAAAAACTCTCCCACCGGCCAAACGCCAAGCTTCCATTGTCGTGAATCAAAAGCTTCGCTTTTGCTTCACGCGCCGTCCCGAAACCGGACGGGGCGGTGAAGTTGAGCTCTCCGGCGGGGGTTATGAAGAGTTGACCGGAGGAGTTTACCGGGTGGTTTTCGTTAGCGGACCAGACGACGGCGCGGGGCGAGTGCGATGAGAGGTTGTAGTACCAGACTGAGAAAACGAAGCGGTTGGGGGCACTGTCGGAGGGGTGAAAGCCGGCGGCGAAGGTGGAGTTGGGGGAGATGAGGATTTGGTTTTGGGTGGGCGTCCATGGAGGATTCGAAGAGGAAAAAGAATGGATTATCTTTGGGTGTTGTTGGGATGAAGTGAATTGAGGAATGAAGAGGAGAATAACGAGGAAGAAGAAGAAGATGGAGGTGGGAAGAGACATGGTTGAGCTTGGAGCTTCCATGGAGATGGAGGAGGAGGAGGGCGGCGATGGAGATGACGGAGGTGCGCCAACTGGGGCGGCTTTTCAAGAATGGATTTGCGTTGACGCTTGACCGTTGAACTCCGAACCCATGAGAACGTAATTGGCAAAGAAAAAAAAAGTGATATTTATAACTTTACATTAGTGCAAGTCTGCAACTATACAATGGATATTTTCTATTTTCTTATTTTCAAATGTTGAATTTCTAATAGGAAGGGTCCCACACTCACTCGATAAAATATTTAAGAGGTTGTAAATCAGGACTCAATAATTTAATGACTATTACAGGATTAAATGCTTACTTCCAAAATTCAAACATTGATTTTTCTCTTAAATAATGCCTACTAAAATTAAACCATTGAGTTAAACTTGTACAGACATACATTTTTTTATTTTCATTCAAACGATTCACCATATTTAAAATTGAAACTTAAAATTGATCATGAAATATCACAGTAAATGAGAAATAATAATACAGAATTTATAAAATAGATACACCCATTCAGATTTCTCCATGAAAATCTGAAAATGAAAATTGAAAAGAAAGAAAATGGGAGAAGACCGGACTTCTTCTTTCAACAGTGTCTTTTGATTTTTGAATTATATATATATTGACTTACTATTTAAAATCTCTATTGCTTTCGACTAAAATCTAAATAATATTAATTAATGTTATCTTAAGATTGCATGTCGTTTTAATATATATATATATATATATATATATATATATATATTGGTTTCTATGTGCATCAAGTTTTTGAGGGGCTCATTCAAAACTTACTCAAACTATATGCTTCTCGTGCGGCCGATGCAATTTGCACCATTAGGTATGCATAAATGTAGCACACAATGTTTAGAAATGCACCTGAATGAAATGTCAAAAAATGCACCACATATCAACAAAATACACCGCACATAATGATGTATTTTTAGACACTTTACGGTGCATTTTGCATACCTAATTGTGCAATTCGCAACAATTGCACTGTTTACGCAAGAACCTGACCATATATATATATATATATATATATATATATATATATATATATATATATATATATATATATATATATAGAGGTTGAAATGAGAATTATATTTTTTCTTCTCCCAAAAGGATCCCCAATCCCAATGGCAATAACATTTGCCTATTTTAGGCATAATTCTCACATTGTCGATGTCAAACCTTGGTCTTTCCTTTCAAATACTGCATACTGAACAATTGAGATAAGCCCGTGCTGGTAATAATTATATATATATATATATTTTTGTAATAATGGATGGACTATTTTTATATGTCTATCTACTATGGTCAATAGTTAAAAATTAAAAGAAAAAATATGATGACATTTTTTTTTAATTATTATGGTTGTATATTTAGAACCGTTTAACAATGCATTTTTAAAAATAATTATAAATGTATTGTTAATTTTCTACAAACGTAACTGTATTGTTTATCATTATTTAAGTAATTGAACATTGATAATTGATAATAATTTGTATTTCTCCAAGTGTACAAAGGTTCCTAACGTCTTCATTCCTGTTGTGTTCGGGCTTGACTAAAGGGAATGAGGTTCCGTTTTCTAAGTTGAGAAGGTCGGATGACTCGCCCCGAGCCCCTGACCTAAGATGGTCGGAAAAACCCAAAGGTAAAGAATTGTCGCGGACTAAGCCTGTGCTTGGTGCTAGGTCGATGAGAAGGTCGGATGACTCGCCCCGAGCCCCTGTGTTCGGGCTTGACTAAAGGGAATGAGGTTCCGTTTTCTAAGTTGAGAAGGTCGAATGACTCGCCCCGAGCCCCTGACCTAAGATGGTCGGAAAAACCCAAAGGTAAAGAATTGTCGCGGACTAAGCCTGTGCTTGGTGTAAGGTCGGATGACTCGCCCCTAACCTAAGATGGTCGGAAAAACCCAAAGGTAAAGAATTGTCGCGGACTAAGCCTGTGCTTGGTGCTAGGTCAAGTCGAAGTATTTAAGCTCTGCATAGCTATTAACGCCTCCACTAAGGCTCGAACTCACAACCTTTCAAATGAAAATTCAACTCGGATATCATTAAACCACATAGTCTTGGTATATTCCCTATCAATGATTCAATGTATATCATAAATGTTTCTAATCAATGTTATATTGTACGTAATATGTTAATTAAATGTATAATAAGGCAAGTGTATATACATAATCGAGACGATGGTCCACAATGCATAAATGATATAATTTGCGGGTTTGATTGATTGGGCCGTTCAAGACCCACTTATTTAGGCAATTGAATTAGGTAGAGGGTCCATCCAACCCGGCCCATTTTGAATTATTGGGCTCAGAGTCAGAGGGACCATGTTTGGTGGACAAAAATTCGGCCTAGTGACCCATGGATTTGGGCCCATTGTATCCCGATACATCAGACGAATGAAATCAAATTTGATTGAATAAACTTCTTCCATTTTATTCTTATTATTTTAAACTCAAGTGATCCCAAACGTACTAATTCTAAGTCCATACAGAACCCCGCTTCTAAAGTCATTGTAAAAGTAAATTGTGAGTCGCGTAATTAGTTCACCGATCATATCTTTGCCTTCAGTCATGAGGCGATGAACCAACTACGCTAAATCTAAGGACAACTTCTCTATTATTATAAATGACAATAATTGTGCTCACTTGATAAACCTTATTCCATGTTTAATTAAGTCATAATTATAAATTAAATAATACATCTTTTACATATATACATCATATATAAATACGCTTTCGTACCTCAAAGGCTCAAAAAATAAAACTTTCAAGATAAGATTTATTCAGCTCAAGACCATTAACGTATTCCCCTAATATAATATTACAAATTATACGTAATCTTAAACTTATCAGGTACTCCGGGCCACTTGATATTTGCATCTCATAAGATGAAATTAATACAATTGTGTCTTGATTAAAACTAATTCACACAATTTTCAATAGGAGTATATATCTACATCATTTGAGATAATATAACTGAATCCGGTCGAGACTGATCTAATCGAGTTTATGTCAGTCTCATTCGATAACAACTCTCTCACGAACATTTCAACATAAGTTTCAGTTATAATATATATTTAATTTGCATCCAAAGAGATTAGATTAATTTAGTCGAGTCTTAGTAAATACTAATGTAATCGTGTTTTAACTAATTCAATTGGGTTTTGATTGATCTCATTCGAACACAACTCTCTCAAGAACGTTGTTGCATTAGTTATTCTTTTGCTCATAATATATAATCATACATCCCATAGGATTAGACTAATTTATCTGAGTCTCAATCGAGATTAATATAATCAAGTTTCGAGTAATTTAATATTATTTCAACTAGTATCATTTAAAAATAATTATCTCAAAAACACTATTGCATAAGATATTGTTTTGCTCATAATATACAACTTTACATCCCGTGAAGTGAGACTAATTTAGTCAAATTTCAGTCTATACTCAAGACTAATATAACTAAGTTTCGATTAGTCTTATTTGAAAACAACTTGTTCATGAGCATAAGATATTGTTTTGCTTAGTATATACAGTCATATACTGTATGCATCTCTTGAAATGAGACTAATTTATCTGAATCTCAATTAATACTAATATAATCAAATTTCAATATGTTTCATTCAAAAAATAACTATCTCAAAAATGTTGTTGCATAAATTATTGTTTTGCCCAGAATATACAATAATAATCATAATTTAATCCCTAGATACCAAATATAATGGGAAAATTTGTACATGTGTCTTCCATTCCTAAATCATGCACATGATGAGGAGAGGGAAGTGTTATGCACTTAAGTTGGGGAATCTAATGCCAATGAAAGATACATCAAACTTCTCGAGCATATTCCACCTCAAGAGTTGGACCAAACTAATCCAAGAAATATGCTAATTAACAATACATTTGCAAGGACAAATGGACAATTGTATTATTTATTAAAAAAAAGAAAAAAAATTTAAAAATAAAAGAAAAGAAAGAGAAAAGCAGAAGCACTAACCTTAACATGGTGGAGGAATGTATACCCAATTAACATTAACTTAATCAAGATTTGGATCCTCTTGATTATACTAACTTATCTTCCCTTGTCCCAAGACAAATTGTATATTAATTTGTGGATTAGTGCTTAGATACCTCATTTAAAAAAAAAAAAAAAAAACTATAAGGAAACCCACAATCACTATCTAAGACTGTGTATGGATAAACCTAGTATATGTTGCTTATAAAGACCGACTCAAATAAAAAAGGTTCATTAGGATATTCTCATTTGGAGTCGAACTTGAAATATTGTGATTACTAGGTCGACAGATCATATATATATATATATATATATATATATATATATATATATATATATATATATATATATATATATATATATATATATATATATATTGTGAGTAACCTAGTTACAATCACTACTGGAAATTCTGAAATTTCCGACCACCTGAAAGTAATCTTAAATCAAGTTGAAAGCCTTGTTCCGACCACTTTTGGTATCCGGAAAAACCCTTGTTGCTATTTCCGACAACTTTTTACTTTCAAATTGATTTAAGATCACTTTCAGGTGGTCGAAAATTCAATAATTTCCAGTAGTGAATCACTATCTGAGGATGCGCATATATAGGTAAATCTGACATTGTAACCATAGTCAACGTACAATCACAATGAAATAAATCAGCATAAGTTGTTTATAAGAGAACAGTTCAAATCATATTGTGACTAATAAGCCAAAGAGTCTAATTAATGTTGTTGGAGATGTCCGCGCTAGATACCTATGTTGTTTGTTTAGTTTAATCCGAAGGGGTTAATGATGCTTAGCGTAGTTTAAGGGATAAAAATACGTTTGAGCTTTGTCTCGAGCAGCGTTTCAAAGCGGCAACAACGTGCAGGTGTCGGTAATTTATAAGATTAAGCCAAAGGCTGTTACTAATCTATGGTTTATGTTGGGTTTACGGAGTCACGTGCCGGTTGTGTGACGTACATGGGGGACAAAAGCATGGTACTAAAATGGCTTCAACTTTAGTTTGTACAGATCACAGACTGGTGTTCAACTTGTGAGGTCTAGGGATGTAGGTGTACTTTGTTGAGGAATACGATGTTCTTCATAACTTTTTTTTTTTTTTTTTTTTTTTGCAAATTAAAAAAAAAAAAAAAGTTTAACAATTTTAATAACCTAGGTGTTTTTCACATTTTCACCATTAAATATATGACTGTTTTCATTCATCTGTTATTACATTATTAAGTTAAAAGATTTTTTTTTTTCTTAGATCGCAAGAAGATAAAATTTTTATTAGAAATTTTTTCTTTAGATCATCAGAAAGAGAAATTGTTAAAAAAGACTTAACTAACTATGCAAGTTAGGAACACGTATAGGTCACATAACACATACCCATCATGTACCCCATACAAATTTCCAACTCAATGATATTATATAAGCTTATTTTGTTGGGAGTAAAGTGTAATATTATAAGACGGTGTTATGTAATTTGATTGCAAGAAGGTAAAAAATTTGAAAAACTCAACTACCTATCCAAGCTAGGGGCACGTAGCTGCCACAAGGCACATACCCATCGTGACGCCCATAAGGATTTGGTGAAGAAAAACTGTACGGTGTTGTATTACTCGTTGGTATTATGTAATTGAATTGCAAGAACGGAAAAAGCTCAACAAACTCAACTAACTATGCAAGCTAGAGACATGTATAGGTCACGAGACACATACCCATCATGTCGCCCATAAGAATTTGCATAAGAAAAACTATGGGAGTATGGGTTTGTCCATAGCCCAAACTCTTCCAGCAAAAGATCAGCTGTTTGATTTTGTTCAACGAGGTTGTATAATGTAGTATTGCTCATGTAATTCAATTGCAAGAAAAGAAAAAACTCAAAAAACTCGACTAAATCACGAGGAACATACCCATCATATCGTCCATAAGAATTTGGTGAAAGAGAAACCATGGAGTTGTCCACCACCCAAACTACTCCTGGAGCATATAGTATTACTCGGTGGTGGAGTGTAATTGGAACATAAATTATTGTAGGTGTCATTAACGACAGGCGCACGAACAGGGAAAGTAGGAGCAGACAGAGAATCTTTTAGGTGGGACTACTGAATATGAATGACTTGAGTAACGGTTTTGCTCTTTGTGAAGAGGTTTTAGCGTATACCCATAGTTCCTATGTTAAGGTTTCTTTGTTTTTCAGAAACACCCCAAGAATTAGCACACCCCTCTCTCTCTTCTCTCTCTCCTCATGTCATCTTCCTTTTTCTGTTTCCTTAATTTATCCCCACCACCACTACCCATCTTTTCTCTGACTTCTCTGATGTCTGCACAGACCCCCCACCCCCCACAACCTCAAACCTTTGCTTTGCCATAATTAAACACCACCCCCCACCCCACCCCCTAACTTTTTAAGGTTTAACTTTGAAGTGGGCCTTTTGAGACATACCCATGTTGTCCTTGATGATGCATTACTAGTCTACTCCCACAACTCCACCACTCCACACACAGGGATGCATGTCTGCTACTCTCAAGCAACCTGGTTAGTTAGTTGATGTTCTTGTTCTTGTTTGTTTCAATTTCAAGATTCTTTTTTTATTTCCCCCTTTCAATTTGTAGTGTTTCTTGTTTCCTTAGCACTATATGTTTCAAATCTTGATTTCCCATAGGTTTCTTATCTGCAACCTAGTATGTATGTGCTTTCCCAGGATGTCTGTCTTCTTGTTGGATGTAGAGTAAAAAAAAAATCTTTTGTTTTTCCATCCTTTTTCTGTTGATCTGGTAAAAGTTATAGATCTTTATTGAATGGAAGTGTCAAGATTCTGTATCTTCTCTGCTGTTTAGCAAATCAAACTTCAAGAACAGCATCTAACCCTATGGTTTATCAGTAGAAGTTTATAGATAATCTGCTGTTAAAATGAGTTCTTGAGGTCTAATGGCTGCAATATCATTGATTGGTGTTTCTGGGATAGAAAACTTTGATTGAATCTGTGTTTTTTTGTGGTGAATTTAAGTTGCAGAATGGTGCAGTTTCTTGCATAATTGATATCTGAAGAGGGTACTGATAAGGCAGGCTTGTTTGTTACTAACTAAATGCAGAAAAATTGCAGCAATCTATCTTAGCTTGGGGTGATCTTTAGTATGATGAAGGGTTCAGATTTTGATCTTGAAGTGGAGGCTTCATCTGAGAATGATTATGATATCATCAGCCAAGTTGGTTCCAACGTATCGATCCAAGAAACCTTAACTGATTCGTCGAAGATGTCTGGTCTCGGGGCACTTCAGTTGAGCACATCAGAGCCTGTTTCTCTCGACCTGTCCCTGGGGTTTAAGCCCGGGTGCTTGGACGAAATGGCCGGCGGGGGGCAGGGGGGGTCTGCAGCGTTCTCGGTTTCCAGCACGAGTGAGAGCAGCAACGAGCTGACGACCCAAACCACGGGATCAGCCAACCCGAGAGTGTTCACTTGCAACTTCTGCAAGAGGAAGTTCTATAGCTCCCAGGCGCTCGGGGGCCACCAGAACGCCCACAAGAGGGAGCGAACGCTGGCCAAACGGGCGATGAGAATGGCTATTTTCTCCGAGAAGTATGCCAGCTTCGCGTCCCTCCCCTTGCATAGCTACACAACAGTAGCAGCAACAGCAGCAGCAGCAGCCAGATCCCTCGAGATCAAAACGCATTCTTCGCTTCATGGCTTTGCACCAACGATGAGGCCACTCGATTTCAGAACCTACTCAAAGTTCGAGCCCACTTTGCTTAGCCAGCCAATTTATGTCGAAGATGACGAGCCTAAGATGTTGTGGCCAGGCAGTTTTCGCCCCGAGGCTGCCTCAACTATGAACCATGTAGAAATGGCACAAATTCTGGAAACTGACAACTCTGCACCGGATCTTACACTCAGGCTTTAACCAGTTTCTAACACTAATAGGCCTCTCTGTACAGAGACACAAAAAAAAAAGAAAAAAAGTGTACACTACTACACATTTTCCAGCCAATCTTGACTTTGGATTACTGTCATCTTTGTCCTCACAACAACATAGGACTCCTGCTCTTAGGAGCCAGTATCTTGTCTTTTGATACTTTCTGCTTTCCCCAACATGTTTTTAGTTAACAGGTTGATGTATTGGAATCTTAGTTCATTGTTGGCTTTTGACAAAAAACCAAAAAAAAAAAAATGCTTTCTTTGTGAATTTGTTCTTGTTTTCTTAACCATCCCTTGAGCTTTCTTATGTTCTTGTTCAAACTCACCTTAAGTTGAATGTGTTTTGAACTCGAGACCTTACTCGAGCCTAGTCAGTTATTGTTCTACTTTTTGGATGACGAGGGAAACCTGCAGGCATCTACACGGTGAGCCTAGCTGGTAAAGGACCACAAGAAAGTAAACTGACCTAAGTTACCCATAATTGACTGGCTCAAACCAAGAAGACCAATAGCAACAGCAACGTTAGGAAGGAGACAAACAAGATAGTGATGATGACAACAGGACAGAGAGAGTATGGTTGCAAATGTTGTCATTGCTTTTGGGATCATGGGACACAAGTTGCCTGTGGGTGTCTTCATCATCAACTCTCACTGGGCACTACCACAAACTTGGCATGGCTGCAATTAGCCAAACAGAAATCCATTCCCTCATCCATTTGCCTAACCATTTTTGGAATTGTGAATTGAATCATGCTGCCTGAAATGACTTGTTGTGAGAGAGACATGCTGCCTGAAATGAACTGCAGCCATCCTCTGATGTAGAAAGCAAGAAGCTTTCACATGCAGGGCAGTGAATTGCAAGTCTGTAACAGCATGCTCCTTGGCTTGCTCCAGAGTTTCAATGGAGGAGTAAATTGCGAGATGTGTAATTGGCAGTTAGCAGTGTTGCAAAAATCACGTCTAGGTGCTAGGCAGTCTCCAGGCAGGTGCCTAGCGATTTTTTCAACATTAGCAGTTAGTAAACAAATTTGTCCACAAATCTCTCATCCCAAGCCCCCAGGGCTCTCACCCCACACCCCAGACTGACAGGATAGTGGAGGAGAGGACTAGTGGGACAGTGCCTGGTGCTCACCACATTAATTGTAACTCTTACATTGAGGCTGCTAAGAGTTTAAGTCTAAATCCGGCGTCTACGCTGACCACAAGGGCAAATTATTGTATGGACCATGGTCCACACAATGTTATGTGCACCATAATAAAAAGTACATTTTTAATATACTAAATGTACATTATTTTTGTACTGAATGTACATTATGTAATATAATGTACACTCAGAACAAAAATAATGTACATCCCCTGTATACAATGTACATTATTTTTGTACTGAATGTACATTATTTTTATACTGAATGTACATTATTTTACAGTAAATAAAAAATAGTCCACACAACTTGTATGAACCATGGTCCACACAATAATGATTGGACCACAAGTTAGTAAGCAAACTTGTTAATACAATAGTCCGTCAAAATATCGACTTTGAAAGTATACTTCGTGTTTAAGAGCTCTGAGTTAAGTCTTTTTAGAGTAAGAGTCGAACTTTGTAAGTACAATATGACTTGAATACTATAGTGGTGCAGGCTGCATACAAAAGGCCAATATATGAATAAAGGCCCATTGAATTACCAAATAGAACCCAAAAACACAAGTTGTAAGCCCAGCCTGTTTCACATGATAATGGGCTTTAGTCTTCAATAAGAAATTTTTGTTTCTGTTCCATAAGTGGGTCAATACCCATTAAATATCCCAATATGGGCCAATTAAGCCCACTTAACTAAAACCCAATCATTGAAGTAAGCCAATTTAAGGTTCTTGATTTAACGGATAGTTATGCTGTGGGCTCGTGCCCAGCGTGCTTCATGCGCACGGATAACGGTGCCGTCAGGCATCGTTGTCTTCCTTTTTTTTTTTTTTTTTTTTTTTTTTCAGACCGCTTCGTGCATATATTCACAGCTTTGTGTTCATAATTTCATAACTGTACATTCATAATTCCATAACTGTACATTCATAATTCTATAACTGTACATTCATAATTCCGTAACTGTACATTCATAATTCAATAACTGTAAATTCATAATTTTCGAAGCTCTATGTTCATAATTGTAAGTTCATAATGTCGGAGTTCTATGTTCATAATTTCATAACTGTACATTCATAATTTCATAACTGTACATTCATAATTCCATAATTGTACATTCATAATTCCATACTGTATATTCATAATTCCATACCGAACATTCATAATTTTCGAAGCTCTATGTTCATAATTGTAAGTTCATAATTCCATAACTATACATTCATAATTCTATAACTGTACATTCATAATGTCATAACTGTATATTCATAATTTCATAACGAATATGCCGTTAACGGCGTTTCGAACAAATTTTTTTTTTAAATTAAAACAGCGTCGTTTTCACGGAAAACGACGCCGTTTTAGCGCCGTGCGCACCTTGCAAGGTGCGCACGTGCGCATAGCATAATTTGCCTGATTTAACCATATAGTACTCTTTCCGTCTCATTTTACGTGTCGAGTTCGATTGATGAGGTTTGACTGAAATTATTTATATTTTTTTAATTTTTTATAATATTAAGTTTAAAATAGTATGTGAAATTTATATTCGACTCATATTGACCTCACATATCGACTACATTGATCCAAACGAGTGCCATATAGACTCCTCTTCAACCCAAGTCTCACTGCTCGTTCCCGATCGAGCTTGATCGGGAAGTTCATTAATGTGACTAGTAGCTAACCCTTTTGCCCTTATTGATCATGGCCTGATCGATTAGTCAAGCACTTGAGAAGATTGATTGCCCACTTGGTCTCATTCCACTTGACCCATTAATCATCTCGGACCCATATCCCCAACACACAAATGGTTGAAATTAATTACAGGTGACAAAGAATATTGAATTGAATTGAATTCCAAATTTAATATAATCCCTCCATTATTTCCCATCCAATACCCCCATCTTCATTTCACCCAAACATCCCATCACAGACACACACACATATGACATATGACAGTTGTTTAATCCGATCTGATCTGATCTACAACTAACATTTGGCTCCACTCTTCACAACCCCCAAAGACCCAAAATACAAGGAAAAAAAACCCAAATATGAGGGGGGTGAAAACCCACAAAAATTGTATATATAATAGTGTATTATGGTCTATATATGATCAAAGCTAAGCGTTACAATTCATGTCTGCACGGGTAGCTTAATTGATTTCATAGTTACAAATTGTGTGCAAAGATGCAAGATCAGGTCCTAGCAGGCATAGTGTGAACTTCAATTCTCGTGGACAATAACACATATTTTTTCACCTAATGGCCACTTAGTCACGTGCCCATTACTTAATGGTATGTAGGGGGTAAATTCTGTCTTGTAACTCTAAGTGACAATGGATCATAAAGAGATAAATCAGCTTATTGCACCATAGTTGATTGGCTCAAAACAATAAAGTTAATAAATTGCTTCTACAGTCTGACCTACTTGACCAGGGTTACCCTTCCACAATGTGGTTGGCCCGGATTCGAAACCCTTGGGGCGAGAGAGTTTTATCTTTAGTGGGCAATGGCAAGAGAGTGACAGTTCATGGGTTTGGCATAGCATGGAGTGTAGAGTGCGCCAAAAAAACGCAATGGTCGCGCTTTAAATGCGGGGAAGACAATTCCGTCAGCGCCTTTCGTGAAGGACAATGTCAGCAGCTGCTAAACCCGAGAGGTGAAAGCTCTTTCACCATCTCCCTTTTCTGTGTATGTATCCCCATCCCTCTTTTACCAAACATCAGATCACACTCTTCCTTTTTTACTACTCTCTCGCAAACACAAAAACTAATACTCCTCATAATGTCATACGATGTGGTTGGACGACATGTCTTCCCTTCTTTCACCTGGCCTGCCCGGACTGCTGCCTGGCTGGCTTGCTGTTTTGGGTTGTTGTTTTCACTTTTCCAGAATTCACATCCACCCGGATCAGGTGTTAAGTGTTAACCAACAAGAATGTTTGGTAAGATTATTGACTCATGTTTTGGTTTAATTTTAATTATGATATAATATATCAAAGATCCCAACCCGGCAAGCCAATCTTCACATTTACTGCCCGCTTGGACAGCTCAGTTGGTTACATGAGTGGAGTTGAATTGGGAAGAATGACTAACGATCGAGTCTCACTAGCTGCAGTGTGGGAGCAGCCTCTCAAAGTGAGAGGAGCTCCTTGTGTGCACTAAGCAAAGGTCTTAGCCTCATGTGGATAGCTCAGTTGGTTACATGATTGAAGTTTGGAAAGAATGACTAGAGATCGAGTCTCACTAGCGAAGGTCTAGCCTCTCAAAGTGAAAGGAGCTCCTTGTGTGCAGTAAGCAAAGGTCTGTGTTCAACTGAGTTACCGTAATTTACATACACCTATCAGGCCAGGGTGTGGGGCCCTTGGAGTTGCACACTTTAGCTTCCATGGCCTATTTACGGGCTAATATGCTGTACTGAGACTCCGTCTCACCTGACTTTATTTCAGCTCCAGTAATCTATCATCCGTTTGTTACTTTCAAAAAAAAAAAAAATTCTCACAATACCTTTACCATAAAAAAAAAAAAAACACTCCACAATATATATTTGTTGTCTTGACTTATTAATCATAATACTGAAAATGGAAATCTTCTTGATTTTTGGTGTAGTCTTTTTTTTTTTTTTTATGGATATGATTGAGTGGTGTGTATAAAATGTTGGATGCATGTAAGCTTAGAAATGGTTGGTGTATGTGTGGGATATATGAGAGAGAGAGAGAGGGGAAGGGGGGGGGGGGGGGGGGTATGTGTCTGAGGGAGTCAGAAAGAGGTTAAAGAGAGACCTATATATCTAGGGCAGTGGAGTGTCATAAATACAAAGTGCATGCAAATTATGAAACACAAATGTCTGTTCTCTCATCATACTGTCATCATGGCCTCGTGATGGCAACTCCTGCTCTCATGGCTTTAAACTTTAGAGCAGTAGGGGTTGGTGGTGTGAGACAAAAGCTTGGTAAAAACTCCCCCTTTATTTTCTTTCCTCAGAAGTAATGCATTATTATTCTCGTACCAAAAGTTCACGTGTTTAATTCTTACCAGTACTTTATAAGTCGGAACACATGGTACTTGACTTTCTTAATGCGATTACCTCACATGTATGGTTTACGAGCTATTATATATATCGGAGTTAAATTTAT